TCGAGGAGATTCCGACGATCTGAATTATGCACTAAATTTAATGGAACACGAACTTCACCCTTGTTTAATTTACAATTACGCGATGTCGGGTATCCCCAGCTGCCGGCGCTGAAAGCGACACCATGCTTCTATAATATTTTGGAAAATGGATTTCCGATGTATGCAGCGCTTACCTGATCTCGCGAAATTTTTAATGTACCCTCAAACTGGATCCCCGTAACGTTTCCGGACGTTAACAAAGCCACTTGGCTGTCGCGAGCGTCTCTTCTAAAGTAAATTTGACACTAACAATACCAAACTTTCTTCTTTTTAATGGACTATCCAAAAGGAGTAGCGGATTTAAAATGAAGTTTGAAAATTCATTAAAGATTTCATCGACTCGAGAGATAAGGTCTTCTTTTGAAAAATAACGTATCAATTAATACGTTAAATCGCGCGAGGTTCCGCGTGGAAAATAGAAATTATAGCGCGAGCGTGGAATAAAAGTATCGTTGCAATAGAATACGAAATAGAGCGGTTCATTTTTGAACAATTCATACGGAAAACGACGACGAAAGCCGTATAGCACGAGGCTGTTATCACATTCTCGGCGCAGGGTGGATAAGAATGGCGCGGAAGGTGGGCGGTATTCCTTAACCTCTAACCGGTTGAACCGCAATGTAAAATGCATTCGCGAGCATGTTGCGCCGCGAGTACGTAAAGCGTATTCATGAATGACCCGATGTCTCGTACGATCGTGCCGGATATCCCTAGGACAACGCGGATATCGCGTAATGGCGCGTGAATTATAGTAACCGGGCCTCTATCTTCGAAAAATACACGGCAACTACCGCCCGGGACGCTGTATTTTCGACCACATTAACGGAACTTCCGTTATCGTGGCCGTGCAGAATCGCGATTATCTCGAGCGTGTATTACGGCCCTGTACTTTCGACGATTCGTATTTCCCGCGCCTGGGAACGAAAATGGCGAGAAACGGAGGACTTTAGAACGAGCTTCGCGAAATTGCTACCTGCACGAGGTGTTCCGCGAAACACTTTCGCGCCAGATAATATTCGACGCTCGGTTCTCGGGAATAATAGGAACGGAAAAAATGGCGAAATCGAAGTTTTTCCTCGTCTGGTACTGGAATTAAATTGCACTCGTCTCTGCAGCAGAGATCGATATTGAATAAAAGATAAACGTTCGTTGCTTGTTGAATAAAAATTTACACGCCGCCTTTAGCGCGTCAAATTATTGTTTGGAAATCAAGTATCGCAGCCGATAATTATTTGGAATAGCGCAAATGGAGTTCGTTTAAATCTATTTCGAACGGAATCGTTGCAGTTGTCAGGGGTCGTAATTGTTTGATCTCAGGCCAGGAATAACGTTAACGATGTGCAGTATCGCGTGCAGGAATTTACGGTCGCAATGATATTAGCGCGAAATTGACGCAATTAAAATGCAAAGCACATTTCGCAAGAGTAAATGAGGTACAAATAAACGATTACGAACGAAAAAGGGAAGGGCAGAAGAACGGAAAAGGGAATTGCATTCATCATTTGGCCGGCTGCTGGCAAATATAAATTCCCGGGCTCGCCGGGAAGCTTTCGCCGGTTGAGAAATTAAAAAAAAAAGGCATATGTCATGAATATTCATACGTTAATGCAGCATGCGTAATGATGAGAAAGTTGTTCCCTCTCGTAACCGTAAAATATACAGGGTGTACCAATAAAAACTATATGGACGTATCAGAATTTCAGAAATGAAATTAATCGTTATCAAATCCGCGAGTCTTTAAAAACTATTAACGTTTATGAAACTCGGTTGCTCGTATTTCATACACCGCGAATTAATCGAACCGAGCAAAATACGAAATTTTCATCGTCGACGAGAGATCGGTGCTCGATAAATTAAGTAGAAAAGAACCAATTAAGGGGTGGGGAAAAAAATAAAAATCGTTGATCACGCGACGAGATGAACAATCGGTCTTGCGTACGATGCAATCGGCTCGCGTACTTCGAACGCTCGCGACTTTCGCGGCGTTAAAGTAATCCTTGCAGCACGCGACCGCGATCGAACGAAAGCTCACGCGATGCTTCCCTTTCCGATTTTCTTTCTTTTTTCTCGTTTTTTTTTTTTTTTTTGCTCCTAACCTGTTTCGCTCCGACGATTAGCTGGCTTCGTGGCTGGCCCGATAGGACGCAATTTGCCGCCGACCGCGTGATTCCGTCGCGACCTCGGCTTCCCACTTCCTCCGCGGAGCTTTTTGCACCACCGACGCTGCGATCGACCTCCGTCGAGCTTTTGGAATCTGAGTCCACGTCCATTTCAGAACGTTAAAGCTAACTCGACGTTTACAGAGAATTCGGAGGAGTTGTAAATAAATATTTTCTTTGCGAAGAGAAGCTTTGCGTTCGCGTGGATTAGGGTTATGGGATCGATTGCATCGCATGAACTATGCAACACAAAGTTGCAACGAGAAAAAAAAAAACTGTAGCGAAAGGAGGGATTTTCCGTGGAGGTTATTTGGTTTTTCAATCTCGAAAATCAATATTTTCGTTGCTATCAGATTGCATATTTTTATCTACGTTCAAAATTTTTTATTTTTCGAACAAAATGGAAAATCAAATTCCAGGTTAATTGAATTTCTTCACCGACGATCCACCCATATTTCCGTAAACAATGAAAATATTTGCACGCTTCGAAATCGACGCAACAAAAATATAACTGAGGAGGAATCTCCTTTCGTAGAGACTCCTCCGTTGAACAATGATTCATCGTTTTAATATGTTTTTCCTCCTGTGCTCGTGATAAAGGGCGCCGTCCGGGCGCGAAAGCTTCAAAAAGTGTTGCCCCGTTGCATCATTTTTCAATGGCCAGTGTGGCGGTTGCCGGTCAAAAATTTTGACGCGATAAAAGTGACGAGGCGCACAGATTCATACATATATTCAAGCAAAACGAGTTACGAGCAATGTCACTCCCGTTTTGCAAAAACACGCTCCCCGCTTCTCATAATTTATGGCTTGAATTTCAAAATAGCGCATCTACATTTTTCAGCCGCGGTTGCCGCGGTTTTTGCGCGCACGATCGCCCCGAGAACGATGAAAATAACGTGGAAGGGGCATTGGTAATGTTTTCTGACGATGCGACGCTCGGATGCATTGTAGCATCGATATAACGACGCCGGCATTTGTCTAGGATATGCGTTTTCGCGAAAACAAACTTGGGAAAACAGCACTCCCAAGAATTTATGGGAAACTGTCTCTGCATAAAAAAAAGCACGTTAACAACGAGAAAATCTCTAAACTTGAATGGTAATGGCAAGCTCAAACTAAAAAATGCATAATAGTTTTATTCAATCCATCACTTTCTTTAAGCAGGCAAAGATTAACGAGAAATTAACTAGCGAAAAAAAATAAGAATCCGAGAACTCGAATGTTAATGAGCAAGGAATCTGAAAGCTCGATTGTTACCGGACGAAGACATTGTTCAACCAGACTTGCCACCGTTTTTACGCCCAAGATCGTTACGGGAGTACTAAAAACAAACGCGGAAATAGCGTCGGTAACGTTTCGTGAAGCTGCAGCAACGCTCCATTGAATTCTCTGGGTCGATGAACCCATTTGATAGTGGGTGTAGCTGCAACCTCGGTTGTCTATCATAATCATTTTCACGGAATCAGACTTGAAAGGGTAAACTAAGCAGGTACAAGAAATAATAATCATCACCCGCCGTTCTTGGCAAATCAAAACACATTCTACGTATAGGAATTAATAAGACATTGTCTGCTTATTTTTCAATATGCAAAAGAAATGTATTTCTTCGTCGAGTTTATCTTTGGAACTGCTACCGGATACTTAATGCCTCGTTACAGGCGTTTCTATACACTTTATAAAACTTAACCTCGATCTAGGAGACCTAGACTTCGTCAACAGAAATTCAACACGAGATTTGTCGTTAACACATACTTGTTTAGCTCCTTAAGTACTTATTCGTCTATCGAGTTCCTAATGGAGAATCAACTGGTCCACTCGAGACTACTCTCGAATCAACTTTTATTTCTTTTTTGGTTCAATTTGTGCCGCAGAAACGTTTAAACAAAATAATGTTTACGAAGAGAACTTTGCTATTGTAAACAACAATATTCGGACGCTATAGCGAGAGTATCGCATGTACCTTTCGCGATACGGAAATCCTTTACGCATTGCATTTCTTCCCACGTTTAACCAAACACTCTTACGCTTACGCTATCTAGCCTTAATCGTTTCTATCAATACGACGCTCTTATAAAAATACTCAATGAAAGAACTAACTCTAACCTCCAAATAATAATAGAACGAAACAGAACTTTTATTCTCGCTCGTAGGAAAGGGCGTGTAAAATGAAAGACCGGAAACCGCAGAGTCCCAGAGTCCCGGCGACGCGATTTCGTCTCTGGAAGCCTACATTCAACCGGGTTCTCGCGTCCTCTGTTCAAGTACAATAGATATAATATATTTCATATAATAACGTAAACAAGATAGTGGTTTTTGTACAAATATCCCTTATATAAAAATCATGCTCGCCCGGCCTGAACGCGTTACAGCAGCCGCGTGGCCCGATCCTCATTCTCTCTTAGCTACAGGGTTCGTTCCAAATTTTGGCTGGGACCATTCGAATAATTCACAGATATTCAAATTCTACAAATATTCTAGATAAACTTCGAACATTTAAATTGGTCGAGTACTATTAATATCGTTAGCTTCGATTTTGAAAACGAACAATGAACTTAATACTTGATCGATGCAGAAAATATTTGAACGATATTGGAATTGTATTCACGGAGTATTCGAATTCCGAAAAATTCGAGGAACGGTCCCAGAACTGTGCCAAACACCTCCCACGACTCGTGAACGACTCCATTGATCGAAAAACGAAAAGCAACCCTTACGAAATTACAGATGGACGATGGACAAAATGCACAAGACATCGACTAGAGACGATCATCGAATTAGCATCGTTAGTTTGCGGTTTGTATCTTTACATGAAAATATCGTCACGGTGCGTTTAGCTTTGTGTTTCCCGCCTCTACTTACAATTTAGTCGTTATCGTGACGGGACCTAGGTTCGAACAAACGTGATTGAGAGCCCGCGAGGAGACGCGTATCAAGGTACTTTCGATTAGTCGTTTCTTATTCTAATGGTTTCGCTGCTTTATTTTTTACTCTTAGTTACTTAAAGCTAGCATTCTCCCTTCGGTGACGTAATTCGTTTCTGTTATCGACCACGACCGTCATTCTCTGCGAAATACTTTTCTATCTATCGGTTTCGTTGGTTCCGGCGAAATGTCTCTCCTATCACTCGGCTTTCTCAACGTCGGATTCGGATTCGGATTCGACCGAATCGACGCTCTGTGAGCAACGTCGGCGTTTCACCGCGATTAGAAATCGGTTAAAGATCACTTGTCAGAGATTCACTAGCGGAAACGTGGTCCAGAGTCCTAGAAACACTAAAGTTTTTCCCCCAAAAAAACCGAGCCTCGTCTCGTTGAATTAGTTCCTCGAAAGCATGAAAGGGACTCCGATGCAATGGAACGTACCAAATACCCTGAATCCAGAAATTTTTAAGCGGTGGACGTCGAAGGACGCCTCAAGAATCGGACTGGAATTCGAGTAATTTAGTATTCGAATATTTCGTAGGTATTGGATTTCTATTTGAAGTATTCAAGTATCAGAAATGCATCCAATGGACAAAATATTCGAGTACTCAAGTATTCGAACACAAAAGAATGCAACGAGTAGTCCCAACCCTCAAGAATCAATTAACTAAGAATTCACCCACAATTTACACAACATCACAAACTTCGACAAAATTCTTCCTCGAGAACTTTGTCATCCCCTTTGGAAGAACTAAAATTATCACCGATCGAAGATGAGTAACACGTATCGACTAGGGCTCGACTAGTCGAATTTTTCTTCATTCGAATATTTGACTATTCGAATATTATTCTAATTATTTTGTTCGTAGTATCTCACTCGTGTGATGTGGTATGTTGTTATGGTGGTAATAAAGTATCGTTTCATATTAAATTGTTTTAGTATGTATGAAAATATTAATGTAGTTTAATATAATAGTGAATGTATCAAAAATAAAAAATAAAATCAAATTAACCAAAAGTAAAAACTTTTTTTCTTGATTGCAACAATCTTCCACTGTTCATTTCAAAATGAATAGATTGTATTTTTGTACTGATATCGATCAGAAATCAGTTCAAAAGTATCAAAGATGATACTAAATGCTTTAGATTTTGACAGCTTTCGATATCTCTTATTAAGTATCTTTGTATCGAATTGCTGGAATATCATTAATATTTGTGATATCCGTTTCTATCATATGTGTTGCTATTCGAATAGTAGTATTCGAATGCCAAAATATTTGAATACTTCGAATACTCAGAAGTCGAAATAATGATATTCGACTATTTCATTAATTGAATAATGATGTCCAATATTCATTATTCCACTAATAGCATTCGAACATTCAAATACTTGAACAATGGTATTCGAATACTCTACTCTAATGGTAAATTATTTATAATAATATTGAAATACTCGGATACCCGAATAGTGATATTTGTCTACCCAAATATTCGAATTCTGAACAACCTGAACTACGGTACTCGAATACTCAGATATTCTTATACCGAAATATTCAAATATTATAATACTCAGGTATTTGAATATTAATATATTTGAATACTCAGTCGCTCGAATAACGATATCAGACTACTCGAATATTCGAACAATAATATACCGAGACATTCGAGTACCTATATTCAACTTCGAGAACTCCCAGCCCTAGTTTCGACGTCCACCTTGCCCGATGGCCCAAAATGGCTACGCCCCCAGAAATCGGTAGAACAATTTGCGCGTAGCGGCGTTCACCAGGTGTTATCTGTGATAACCATAACTTGGGCTGGTGAACACGGTAGCCTTGAGCGTGATGGAGGAGACCTGCGACAGAGGACGATCCTTGGACGCGCAGGTCTTCAGGAACCTCTTACGAGTACCGTGTCTCCAGAGCTTGTGAAGCGCGAGGGAGGCCTTGGTGTGATAGGGTCGACAGATCGAACCCCTGGCCGGGGAGTCTACGGGGCACAGACGACACCTGAGCAACCTTTGACCTGTCGATCGGTATCGACACCTATTCCTGAGCTCGTTGATCCTGACAGCCGCCTTCTCGTGTTTGGTCGCGTCATCCTGCCTCTCGTCCTGCGGGTCGAGCTCTAAACCGGTCAGGTCGTCGTCCTCGAACTCTTGGGTACACGTCACCTTCCTCGGTTGGCTCTGCTTCCTCGATCGCCTCTCATTGGGTTTGCTCTGGCTGTTCGCTGCCCAGGGACACTCCGACTCCACGGTGGACCGGTATTCCTGGAGCATGGCTCGGAAGCTGCACGCAAAATCACGATTAAGTATAGTAGCAGTGTCTGGCAGTGATCCGGCGCTGCAACCGCGTTCGTCGGGCTGCTCGTGGCCGACGTCGAACTGCCCGTGAACTGGCCGCGACGGGAGGTCGTGGTCGCGACCCAAGCCGCGACTAGCACACTCGGGGTCGTCGATGACGGTGTCGTGGTCGGGGTCTTGGTCGTTGACGTCGTCGCGACGTACACCGCTCGACCGCCTCTCCTCTTCCAATGTCGGGTACGCCATTGTCGCTGCAGTTGCAGGGGAGTTTACCATCTCGTGGCTGCAACCACCGCGGCACTGTTCCATAAGTTACGTTCGCGTCATTTTTCTGCCAATCGACACCCGTGCGACGGTACGTTTCGAAGATAGACAGATAGATAGAGATACAGAAACAACACGTGGAACAACAACGGTGTGAATAAAATAAGCGAGGGCCACGCGGAGGACTGTGTCCATCTGACGTGCACGTGTATTGTATTTTTTTTTTTTGTTTTTTGACAGGGCCACGCGTGTCCTGGGCAACATCGAAAGCAAACAAACGAAGCGTGCACGTGCGCGAACGGAAAAGAAAAACGTTCAACCAAAAAATGACGCTGCAACGTAACAGAAAATTGGAGAGGAGGGGAGGAGAGGCGGGTGACGAGCGACTTCAGCCGGCAGGTCGTGAGTGTTATCGAATGACCAATTTCAGAACGATGAGGCTTTAATGGAAATATCGAAACTTACGATTGGGATAAGCTTGCGTTAACTGTTAGGAGGCTAAGTCAATGTTTCTCAATCTTCGTTTTTTTTTGAGTGGTCAAAGGAAAACTATCGATGGATCTTCTGGAAAAATTCTCTTCGTATACTTATACAGGGATGACTATTGTTCCCTGTGTTCGAGCTGGTTCAAGAAATAATTGAAATAAAAATTCATTCGACAACCAAACTGGAGTCACGAGTTTTTTTGAAATAGTGCCAGATTTTAATAAAATTATTATATAGAATAAATATAATGTACAATACCATGATCTACTTCGCCAATTGCAGTATCATAACCATCTGAAAGGGTTTCCAAGATAATCTGTATTTAAAATTCTGTTCTTCGTTTAATACCTTTTAGGAAAATATTGTTTAGATCTGCCTTAAACAATTTTTTAAAGGATACATACCCTACCATAAATTTATTAGAAGGTTTGTAGAAAGTTAACGCAAAATCACCAAAATCGTTATTCCTTAACAAGTTCTTTCGCATGGTTTAATCTAACCAAATTCAGTCCGCGACCTGCTGTTGATCAACATCGACCCAACAAGATGAATGATCAAATTAAAAAAAAAAAAGCGCGGGAATCGCACTCGCAACTTAAAAGCACGCGAAGCGATATTATCATAACGGTGATAAAGTAATTCATTTTCGTTCCTGACAATCATCACCGGCAACTTGACACTTCGATATAGCGAAACACAAATAAACGAACCACTGATGGATCTATCCACCGATTAATTTTGCGTCGCGTTCACGAAAACAATTCCTTCGCCCTATTTTCATTTATTCGGTTATTCCAATTCGAATATTCGACAGAAAAGTGTTTTGTTTTGTATTTGTAGGCCATCCAGCATCACAACCCCCCCCTCGTGCCAATAAAATTCGAATCTATCGTTTGTGGAAGATGATTTCAGTGGTTGATAGACGTGTGTACGAAAGTGTCAATTGCAGTGAACAAAATAAAAGCAAATAAGTAGCACGGGCAACGGGGACGTCAGGATACTTACCCGAGTATCGTTGTCGGTGGTATCACGGTGGTAGCAGGTGCGATCGCTGGGGCTGGTGCTGGAAAAACTGGCGGACCAGGTGGCGGCCTGCCTCCTCCCGCGGGGCTATAAATTTGACAATTAACGATAAATGAGTGCCCTCGTAATTCATCGACCCGCCACGATACGACTCTGATCTTCAAGTTCGCGAAAAATGACCCATTTAACGAAATATTTCCAGAAAACTTGAAGCAACTGTGAGACATCGTAACCAATTCCGCCTCGAAAATTCCACAACAAACTTGTATCGGGTAAAATAATTCCGAACGCAATTTGATATCGGTAAACGCTAATGTAATTTCTACGCTCGACGAATATTTACTCGTCGCAAACAATGGCGCGTAATTCAGTTGCGAAATAGAATATACCGAAACAAACCGATTCGTCTCAAAATCGAGCCTCGATCGACCGCCCGTTTCTCGATCCCCGATTATTTATCGGGCTCGTCACGCGCGACGGTAAATTTGCCCGACAGAAATGATTTCGTTTAAACTGTACTAACGAGAAAGAGAAACATGCGGCAGTGCCGGTCCCGGATTGAAGTTTAAATCCAGCGACCGCTCGTTACACGGCGTTTGCTCGCGCGCGGAAAAAGTAACGGGTAGGATTAGTCGTGCGATCGACTTCCAATTAAATCGTTTTAATGAATTTCCGGGACGCGACGTTGTTGGAACCGCGTCAGCCTGCGCGAATGGCCAAACCGCGGCCAGCTAAACCAAACACGACGCGCGGACGAAATTTACGGGACGTCGTAGCGCGGAAACTGTTCGATTCGACTTCAATTAACGGCTCCTCCCGAGAAAAATGTTACGAATTGGAAGGGTTGTTTCGTCGACGAGTTTCGTTATCCTGTCGCTGGTACGGTTTTCGAACGATTACGACCAACGGATGACAGGTCAAAGTTGCCAGACACTGTCCAATTTGTACGACGGGGATTTTCGACGGTCTTTGAAACAAGAAATAACTAATTTGTACAGCGAGCGCGACGCAACCGAAAAAATCGTTGGAAACATGTTACTCTTTGTGGTTGTATATTCTTGTGAGTGACTGAGTAACTTGAATTTTATTATTTCAAAAAATACTCCACAAAATATTTAAATTTAGTTTATGACTATAGAGAAACACAACCCAACTAGCAATAAATAATCGAGTAATCGAGTCTCCTAAATCAATCGATATTTTCACATTGGAAATTCATAAAATATTCTACCTGAACCAAAGTCGTATTGCGGAATAAGGCGTTAGGTTGGGAAAGAAAGAAAAAAATCCTTACTGCAAGGGTTGCTGATGGCGATTATTGGGTGGCGGCGCAACCTGTGCCGTGGAGGCTGCAGGTGCGTTCGCGCTGCTCACACGATGCACATGCAGCTGATGCATCTGCAGCTGTGCCGCATCTTCGCCGAGGAAGGAGCACCTCGAGCATTGCCGCCTGTTGTGCACTTTCAGCACGTGTGTTGCTAGACGTTCAGCGCGTGCAGCTTTGTACTCGCAGAGGGTGCACGCGAAGGGCTTCAAATGAGTGTTGAGGTGTCGTTTCAGGCACCAGTTGTCCACGCCGCTCCAGGAACAGTAGCAACAAGTATACCTGAAAAACATAAATGCCTCAGTCGAAAACTCTGATCCCCTCTAAATGTCAGTTCCCTATGAAGCGTGTTGAAACTATATTACAATATCTTTTTATCATAGATCGATCATTACAACCTCCTTCAATTTTTAGATACAACTAATTGCAGAGAGCTCAGAAGTTTTATAGTTTGCTCTGCAAACTAGCAAGTTCTTGTTTCGATACCACTTACCAGTTCAATAAATTTCCTGATTAAATTAAATATCTGATTCAAGGAAGAACAACATCTTCCACGAGAAGTCTCACCTTCGCTCTTGAGCTCCCTTGGAACTACCCTTCAGATGACTCTTGCTGTTGCACCCCCCGTTCTGCACCCTCCTTCCCGTAGCACAGTTGGTAGCTTCCGGTTGCATGATGCTAGGAACGGGCATGGACGTGGCTTGATAGATTCCAGCCGCGGTGGCCGTGGTCCCGTTTCCGGGATTCGGCTGCAACTGGAAACTCTTGCTATCGTTAAATCCGGAAGTGTAGCTCGTGTGCTGTTGTTGCTGCTGTTGCTGTTGTTGTTGCTGCTGCTGCTGCTGTTGCCCGTTCGAGTTCGCGTTTCCGGTTGCCCCGGTGCCCGGTTCCTGCTTCAGAAGCTTGGGCGTGCTGGATCCAGCGAGTCTGCGTATCCTGGACAGCTCGTAATTGTGCTCACGATGCATCCTCAGGAAATGTTTCTTCACATGGTCGGCGCGATTGAACGGTTTGTAGCAGATGTAACAATGGAATGGCTTTTCCTCTCGGTGGATGTTCTCGTGGCGGGTGTAGAGATCGCGACGATCGGTGCCATAAGGGCAGTATGGACAGGTATACCGTTTCACGTTCACGGACACCGCGGCTGACGTCGGCATTGTCGCTGTGCTCTGGAATATTGCAATATTATTTACTCTACGCTGCGTGTCATATCGCGGCAGAGGATTAATTTGAATAGTTGTAGCAATACAGTGTTTCGTATTGAATAGCAAACTGGACAATTAAATTTGTAATTAGTAACGTCGAAGGGCTGGACCTGTTTAGCTTCTATTCGTGCACACGTTATTACAGATAGAATTGCATCGTGTTTGTATTCTTGTCGCATTAGAATACGATTTAATTAATTCGCGTTGAAACGATCGTATCTTATTGTAACAGGAATACAAGAACGAAACAATTCAATTTGCAGCTGATAATGCGAGATGGCTTTGCACCAAAGCCCTTTGAACGTGACATCAAATAATACTTCGTTGTTCTAGGAGTTAAACGTATACATTACGAAATTTGCTTGCCTCGAAGCAAAGTACAATATTCAAATTTTTACATTTTAAGTGAACTTTAAATATATCGCTACGATCTATTCGAATTAATATCGTTCATTGTTTCGGACGGATCGTTAATTACACCTACAGGTATTCGACTATAGTGGAGAACAGCATTGTAAGCGCCTGCAGAGTCAGATGTACTTTGATTCGCAATGTACTTCTTGTGATCAGTATCTTCTACAATACAAGAAATTAAGAACATCAAAGTATGAAATTTTAACAAATACATAAAATTGGTACTACTGTAGAATTGCTACTTGAAATAATTTATTATTTATTCTGAATGAAATTTATCTAGCTCTGTATGAGGTTTCAGTCACATTGCTGATCTTCACTATAGCTTCGTTAACAGAAAAAATATATTAACTTTAACTGCCAGGTCCAAAAGAATTAATGAGAGAAATTCTTCCAAAAGTGGCAAAAATTGGTCACTGGACTATCCTAATAAAATGGATAATATTGACATAACTACTAATTTCTCAAGGTCTGAAAAGTCTAAATTCATTAGTCTACGTCTAATTTCTTAGATATAATTTCTTTATAAGTTATACCTGATGCAAATGTTGCGGGGCAGGGGAGGACGGCAACTCCTGCAGGAGGAAGGTCGACGTAACCGGTAATAAAGCGGCAGGAACAGTTTGTGTTTCCTGCGTTCGCCTGGATGGCGGGGCGACTCGCTCGGCGCGCTCCCGTAACCTCTCCAGATACGAAATCACGTCGTCGATTTTCAGCTCGGACTGCAGGTAGTCCTTGTGCGGCGAGTAGTGTCTGTTTCTGCTGTCGTCGGCGAGAATCCTCGATGAATGAAGTTCCATAAAATGCTCGGCCACGTCGCGTGGCCCGCCGCCCATTACGTCGCCTAAACAACAATGATACGCGTCAATTTACACAGGTAGAATTTTGGAAACTTGAGATCGTCTATCGAGTCACCGACAAGCGTGTCACCTACCATGTTTACATCGACGCTGTCTCAGCGAGACTGACGATGACTCACCTAAGATGACGTCAACGTTTGCGGAATAATAAGAAAAATGTGAATTCTTTCGCTGGGGTTCGAATCTTCGTAGGAAAAGAAATCGAAAAGTCCCCTGACACTTTACAATCTGATGCTTCGTTAGAGAGATATCGATAATTAAAGTTACAACTTCCAGCGTGCGCCACTTGTTTACCGATCGCGCGTCTGCGCGTGCGCCTACGATCACACGCGATGATCGCTCGAAAACTTCATCCGCCTATATCCTGGCAACGAAGCATCAGATCGTAAAACTGAAAAGGACTTTTCGTTTCGCATCGATACGAAGAATTGATCCTCGATGTTTAGTTTGAAATTGTGTTTATATAATATTTAGTTACAGCTTTTGTATATTAGTTACGGACAGAAATTTAGAATACAGGCGTAATAATTCGTTTGCTTAGATGAATTCGAAAGGAAACGAATCGAATGGACATCTTTAACAGTGTCAACAGTCCTCGAACGCGACACGTTCGCAACACAAAGGCAGTAATCTGTCAGCTTAGGGATAGCTAGGGTCGAGAACCACGCCAAACAGTTCTCGTCGCAAGCGGGCATTATTTTTTGCGACAGTTTCCCTGTTTACAATGCCAGCAGAATCCTTAAATCGACTCTCTGTCACGAAACGCTGGAAATTACCCGGCCAAACGCTGGAAATTACCCGGCCAAACGCTCGGCACGGGACAATAAAACTGCCTTTGTGTTGGAAAAGGACCCGCGCAGTTTAGCGAGGCTACGTTTCGTTATTGTTTACGTCTTCAATTCCGTCTCAATTTAGACCTCCCACCGCCCCGGGTCCTTTCGTGCCTGCTGACCCGTTATTCCGACGCTATTCGTTCCCGTCGTCTCTACAACGTTGTTATAATAATTACTTCGAGCGTCCTGCTCCCGATTCGGGAAAAACTCAAAGTCGGGGCACAAACCGTTATAACTGGTTGCCTTTGTCGCGAAAAGTGGCTCGAATTAATTCGATTCACGGCCAAACGAGATCTATTCATCGTCGTGCTTTGTCGACAAAGCGTGGAAAATTGACGGAGATGTTTGGATACGTTTTAACATTTAAATTTAAAATAATTTGAAGCCACCGCACTGTAAAATACGGCGACTCGCATTAATATTCGATCAGGGTACTCTAAAAAGAATAAATTACAATTTTTTTGTGCGCCATTATTGCTTCGTTTATAATCGTAATATGCACAATATTTTAAATTTATTTCTGAATGACAGAAACATCTTTTAAAACTCCCTAATGATGAAGACAGAAACGTGTATGAATGTTATGTTTAAATTTTCTTTACAATTTTTCTTTGAGAATGAATTGAATAGAATGTAAAAAAAGAATTGCTTGGTAAAGAAAGAATACTAACCGCATTCATAACATCTCCATGTAGTTTTCCCCGAATGATAAGCCGCGATTCTGCTTCCATCGGTTCCTTTAAGCGGCTCCTCTTCGCACGTCCAGTTTCCATCGTCGCTTCCGTCGGTTCCGTTTCCGGTATCGTCGTCGTTCTTGTACGACACGGACGTTTCGAACTCGTTCTGCACGCTCGATGCTGCGTCAAGCGAAAATAGTGAATTGTTTTTTTTACTTATCTCCATTTAATCGATAATATTATTCCCCATATTTTCTTACAAAAAAAGAAAATAAAAAAGCTCGATATTCCCCAGCAATTTTTATTCCCATTTTCATGGAAAGAAAATTAGTTTGTTGTTGGGAGGAGAGGCTTTGCTCGGAGCATATCGATTTCAATTAATTTCTGGAATCCCGATGACCTACTTCGAAAAAAACTATTTAAATATTCTCCTAAATTTAAATTTCATTAGCAGTTGCATTGCCTTTATTATGATGTACGCGATGCCACAGTATCACATCCGAAATGTATTTTACTTAGAAGCACTTCAATTCTGCAGAAATATTATTTTGTAATTAACGTCGTCCTAGGATATCATCGCATTCAGCACTGATGAATATGAAATTATAATATTATTTCAGAAAGCGCGAGGTAATTTACATCCAACGGTGCCTTAATTCTACAAAATATTATCTTTTAATTACTACCCGGTGGTACTTATACCATTTTACCACTGTATTCTTTAAATAATGCCCGCAAAGCGCCAACATTATGACGTGAAAGCTGGATTATTTAGGAACTGTTTATACTGAAAACGACCACGTTAAGGTAAATGTTTCAGGCGTCTATGAATTGCTCGTGAATATACGGTGTTCTCATTATTATTACAGAATATTTACCCTGTAAGCGAAACGTGTATAAAAATGATGAAAAATAAATATTTAGAATTCTCCTTCACAGAATATTAATATTAAATATACTCTGCTCGATGAATTTCAATAGTAATTTAATTAACATTTTTCAGATTGAATTTAAGTGGAATAATTCCACGCGCAGAATAATGAAAGTGTTCTAAATAAAAATATTCTGTAAATCCGAAAAATGAAATATTAATACGAAAATTAGCGGATATTTAAACTCAACAAGTTTAATATTAAAAATAGTAAATAAATACGCAATCGTACAATTATCTGCTTGTATTTTATAATGTATGTCCACGATTTAAAGCAAGATAGATTATTTACTATTTACCATTTGAAACAGTGCATTATTAATTACCTGAACGAATGGTCTTTACATTTATTCAAATAAATAGATTAAGTAATGATCTTACTTCGATGATCAGGATCTTCCCCATACAGTTTCCTGGTTATTTCCTTGAACATGTCTTCATAGCAGTCCAGCCTGCTAATTCCCGTGCCGCTGCCCTCCATTTTTGAAGTTCCCAGCGGTCACAAACTATCCACGGAACAATGAGCCCTCCCCGTTCGTCTACCTGCGTAAGAAGTTCCAACTTTAAGTCGGGTTGCAACTAATAATCCACGAAACCCTCCCCCCTCGTTCTGTTTCCCAAACGTTTCTACGCTTCCGACCTAAACTTTACAAACCGTTCGCGCCGTTTCTCTTCCCCGTGTATATTCTTTTCGCTTGCTCAAGAACGCAACCCTTCCTGCGGGGTAATTGGGGCTGAATCGATGAAAGGGTCGACCCTAATTGGGTCATCGAATCTTAATTAAATCTTTCCAAGGCGGTACGCTTCCGCGATTTAACTTTTCCTCTCGGGTTAAACGACTGATTTGCATAAGTAGAGACATCCGGACCCGATTGTTATCCACCCTTATTAGTTGTTAGGTAATATAGACGCACGGCCCCGGGGGTGTGAGAAGTTTCCCAATAAGAGACGCTCAAGTATTATTGTTTTGTCATGGAAGTGGACAAAACTCAAACAGCTTTTGTCTGAAATATTTTTTGAGAATTAATTACGCCCCCTTGAAAAGACTTTCAGGAAAATCAAGGGAATAAATATCCAACACTGTTTTATCCACTACGAATTTAAAGCAATTCGTACAAAAATAAGATTTCCCTCGCGTAGCGCTCCCGTTTCGCTGAAAGCATCGAAAAAACGTAATGGCGTTAAATTGTTTATTTAGTAGCTACGCTTTCGGAGGACGAATATAAGTATTGCATCTCAGGTATCGAGCCTCGAGGGTCTCGACGGAGTGCATTATCGTGTAAATTCGTTTGGATTTACGTCCCAGTTCCGAATGAAGTCGATCCCCGCGCGGGATTATGACGTTATCGGAGCGTGGCGCGCGAAATATTGTTTCCCCGCGGTAGTTCAATTTTTCGAAACTACGAGACGCGTCGAAGCAATGGTAAAAAATAATGGACGGTATTTAATCGGCCGGATATCGTTGCTTCGGGAAATAATGGAAAATTTCCAGCCGCCGCGGCGTATTTTTATATTTATATTTACGCATCGATCTTCCGCCACAACGGAACAACCATTTCGACGCGAACTTCTTACGAGTTCTCGGTACGCTTCTCTGCAATCTCTGCTCGCTTCATTGACTCCTCCCCCTTCCTAACCCCCTTCAATCCATCCACGTTCTTATCTTCTATACATTCAGCTGCGACTCGCTGAAACATCTTGCGCTCAGAGGCGACGCTCCAATTCCAAACCGATGCACCGCAAGAATTGATTCGTCGTAACGGTAAATACCGAAAACAATCCGTAACGCCCGACTCTGAACTCGGGGGATCGCGTAAACGCTTGCAGGAATGTGCAACCCCGTGAAACAGGATCGGGAATCGAGTCGCGTATAAACGACGTTTCGCGTCTACTTTCTCTGACTCTTCCCACTTTACTTTAGAACGTGTGCAGCGCTTTAGTTTCATGTATAAGTAAAGATAAAAAAAAGTTCCTTGGGTTAAATTTAATAATAGCCTACTGGTGGATCTCGACCCTTACGCTGAGGATACAGTGTCACTGCAATTTGCTCTATATTACAATTTAATAATGCAAACTTATTATACACGATCCCTGACCTTGTTAGAGTCTTTTATTTTGTCCCAAAGAAATAAAGAATTCGGAACAGAGATTTTTCCAGGCGCAAACGCGGCTTAAGGGTAGCCGTCGATCCTGGAAAAGCATTTCTCGCGACGACAGGAACTCGCAGCGACGCGAAACTCGGTATCGGAGGCGTTAACGAGATTCTCCGCTGGAGTGGCGCGATGGGATTAGAATCAGGGTTGTTACAGACCGTTTAGAGGCACCGATCGACGGTACGGATCTTCAATTAGGCCCTCGGAAATCATGTACGCTGGCGCCGAGTAATTATTATGCGCGCTGGATGCGCCCTTGCACCCTGGAGACGATCGTTCCTCCGACACTGGTGGTAACGGGACTTTGATCGGAACTCAAAAGACGCCTGATTAAGCCAAACACCGAGTTAGAATAATTTGAAGATATTCAAGATTGGTTGAAACCAGTTCCTGGGGGGGAATTTTGATTGCAAAGGTTTTCTAAGAAAATGTAAATTTTTAAAAAATTCCGATTCGACGGGATCGACGACAACGTTGAGCAGAGTTGACGTCTAATTAAAATTTTCACCTTCCTGTCACGACCATGTGGGTAACGACTCTTCGCGAGAAGTTTGGGTGTACGTTCGATGTTGGGAGAGCACTCGGGGCGACACGGCGTCCTTTTAAAAGGGAATCGCGGGAACGAAGAAGGAACGGCGGAACAATTACGGATATTTCTCGAGGATCTCGAGAAACTCGATCGAAGTTAAGGCCACTTTGTAATTCACTTGAGCGTGAGCAGTCGCGACTCGTCTCTCGATTCGCGTCTTCGTGAAAAGACCGGAGGGGTGAAAAATCCAGGCTTGATTGTGCTACAAAGCGTTAAATATTCATGAACGGGAAATCTTTCGCCTTTGGACCGTGGTACAATTTAGTGGCTCGCTGAAAAGTGGTATCGATTTTCACTTGGAACTTGAACAAGAGCGCACCGTTTCCTACACAGCAGCATTTGCACGACAGAGTGGTGCTTCGTTCTCGCGATACCACGGGAAGTATTTCTTTCAAGTTATTGCTACTGACCTTTCTCAAATGGGATTATAGAAAACGAAGAAATTCATCGACATTCTCGGTTGAAATCTATATTGACCCATTGACTTTCGCTCAGCGGACTCAGGGATCGATTTTGACCCATTGACAACAATAATAAAAGCAACACGAGCTTATCAAAGTGCTTTACTATAGCCACAGCTGTGAAAAGATTTATTTTTAATCTCTGAGGACGATTTATTTCTTTAACAATAAACGTATTCACGTGGTCACCTAATCTCTGACCAAATATTCCTGAAGAGTTCTATGTTAAAAAATATTCTAAAAATCGTTTTCCCAAATTCCGGAGGTCGTAAACAACCTCTTAACGATCTTCGTGATTAACATTCAAGAATCGTCGATGTTAGTTACTCGATTACGCGCATTCAACGTAATCCCGAACGTAATTATCTAAAACACGATCACCCTACGCCAATTCCATCCCCTAGCTGGAACAAACATTGGGGTGAATTCAGTGGAAGGGATACTAGAAACCGATCGAGAATCCTGTACATGTTCTGTATTGACAATCCATGTAAGAAAATTAAATATTTTTCAACGTTTTGAAACAGTTTGTAAAATAACAACGTTACTTTTAAATGATATAGATAAAAAATAAAAGAATATTACCTGGGACCTATAAAATGATGGGCTATTAAAATTTTATATGCCAGAACTATTCAAAATTTTACCACCTGTTAGAATATACGTTTTGTATACCATTGCAAACCACTTATCTCGAGCACAGAATTTTTGTCTTTTATGCTGTCTCACAAGAAGTTTGGAAACTACTTATTTATAAGAAGTAACAATATACGTGGTTAACGATGCTAACGCGTATATTAACTGAATATAAATCGCCACGATTCTACACTAACGTGCTTAAAAGGGTCTCTTAAGTCTGAAAACTGTCTGCATTTTCGAACCCTAAAATGACTGCCAGGGAGGGTGAAAGAAACCGACCACATGGTTTACTATAGCAAGCTTGAAACTCGAATCTATCGCTCACCCAGGCTGTTCCAATCAAGTCAAATATCCAGACGCTGCAACAGATTTCTTCTCTCCAAATCTAATTCAAATAGCTACCAATGCTTCTAATAATTAACTCGATCCACGTACATTAATAATATTAAACAACGAATAAAAGATAAACAAGTAAGAATGTATCTCTAATCTTTTAAAATTCTTTCCAAGAGGGTGAATCATTGGGTGATGCATCGATCATAAACACAAAGCAACCCTGATTAGCTCTGTTTCGAATAAAGGAGCAAAATGTTTAATTCGGTTCCTAATTATCCGAGCAAAGCTCTCTATAACGGGTCAGCAATTTTTCCCTGATTTCTGCCCCTCGGCTCCATCGAAATCCACGTGCACCACTCTAATCGGTTTCTATTCGGTTACGCCGCTCGTCGAAGCGAAAGGGTTAATCATTACCAGTTTCTATCTGTTCCAGTCAATCCTGACAAAAAGCTACTCGGTTAACCAGTTGATTCGGCCCCGTTGGACGCGCATCGAGCCTCGATCTCCGCCCCCACGAGGCCGTGTGGATTGATTTCGATCTCGGCGACGACGTAACACGGTTTTTCGGCGGGGTGCCGTCCGGAATGAGGAAGAAGGCTGCGCGTATTGATCGGACGTCGGGAATGGAAAACGTGGAGGGAGATGGCAACCCCAGCCTGCCAACAAGTACCGTTAGGGGTGAGCAAGAGAGTTCGCTACGTGGAAGGGGTTAACAGCGACGAAATAAATCAATATTACCCCTCCGACAGCGAACGAGCGATCGAGGACGCGTCCTGCGGAGGCGACAGATGGCGGAGAGGGTGGCGACCCCAGGCGTGCTCGGCTTCTGCGTCGGTTGAGCACCCCTGTCTCCGAAGAAACCAACTACCCAGGAGGGGTGATGCGGGTGGCCAGAGCAGGGAGGGCAGGGCCGACTTTGCGTGGATGCCCGGCGTCGGGGCGCTTCGAAAAATTAAGAAACTCGATAAAGAAGAGAGCAAAACGCAGCTTTTGGGGAAAACAGATCGAGCGATCTAGAAGCTACATCTTCGGTTTGACTGAGATTTAAAGATGGATGAACAATATAGTCCTCTGACAAAAAGTTGCCAGACTTCTGCTGGCTGTACGACACAAAACGAACGCTAAGAATGCAAATTTCTTATCCAAACAAAACCTCCGATCGGCGGAGTAACCGGTAAAGGACATTACAAAACGAACGTGCAAAGATTTCAGCCGTTCGATCGATCGAACGTCACGGATCCGCGTATTGGTAAAATAAAATGCCCACCTGTGTCCGAAATTGGAAATCCCATAGGGCGCCCGTGGCACGAGCGTCGTCCCTGAGGGAGGGACGTGAGCGCAGCTCGAGGGAACGTAACGAAGAAAAAAGAGAAAGAAGGGGAGGGGGGAGAGAGATAGACATTGAACGCAAAAGAGCGATGGTGGGGGAGTCGCTGCGTGGGGGTAAACGACGTGTGGAGGGGGAAGCCAGAGAAGGCGCGCGCAGTGTGCCATTCAAATTCATCCGGAAATTATTACCGACTGACCAAGGACGCTGGCCACGCGCGCGCGCAGTCGCGTGCACGTATACGCGCCCACGTAGCGGCGTATTCGGAAACGTTTCGCGCGATGAGCGGTCGTACACTCTCGGAAGGCGGTTTCGCGCGGACTCACGAGTGTTTCGTCGTCTATCGTCTGCGATCCGTTCGTCCATTCCTCGCGTCCAATACCGCTGTTGCACCGGGCCGCGGAGGATCGCGGTACTTTGCGGGCCCGCGGCGAACGACGACACGCGGGAACGGGCAGGAAGCCGCCGTGGCACGCACACGCGGCATCTCGTAGCCCTGTGCACGAGGAGGCAGGCGCGAATCCACTCGCGATAACGGGACGCGTACACTCGCGGCGACGGCCGATCGACGTTGTTCACCGAGCGTCGAATGCACACGTCACTGTGCTCCGTTCTACCCGTCTCTCTCTAGACCGTGCCCGATACGCGCGCCGCGTCGCAGTCACTCGCGTCGCGTGGGCCGTCGCGACGTCGTATCCCATCGATTCGGTTTCTCTTTTGCAGCGCGGCCAGCGAGGAGGCTCCAGGGCACACCGGTGTCGGCGGAAGCCAGCAAACCGTGGACGATCCACGGTGATCGGTGACAGCGGCACCGACCGCGACGAGAACATCGGAGAGTGGAGGAAAGAAAGGATGACGTTGGAGAAAGAGAGAGGGTCCGAGAGTCGGGGGCCGTGGTAGGAAAAATCGTGGCAGCGCGCGAGAGACGGACACCGAGAGACGCGCACACCGTGGACGCTGGACGATGATACACTGTCTTGGGTACTCACCGGGTTCTTGGACGGCGACGACGACCGCCTGGCGAGCCTCAACGGGGAAATTCGTTGTTCGAGAAAACGTCGGTTGCTGGTTCGGTTGCAGGTTGTTTCCTCGACGGCAGTCGGGTGGCGAGTGGGTGGGCAGGCGGGGTGGCAGGCGGACAGAAGTGGGTGGCGCGGGTGGGTTGGGAGCAGCGGCGTGTGGGTGGTGGGAGTGGGGTGAGGGAACCCAATACCACCCTCCTCGCCCATTCAATCCTGCAGTATTAGGGGGAGCAGTCGAGCCTGTTCCCGACCCTCCCTCCCTCCCACCCTTGCCTCCCTCCCTCCCTCTACACACATCCAGCGGGCAGGAACGTCTACGACGAGGACGATGCCGACGACGGACGGCTGCGAGCGTGCGTGAGACTACGCTCGTCACGGTGTGCGTAGGCCCTGTCTTCCTTCGTCACGCACACAACGGCCGAGCAGCGGCTAAACCTCCCTGCACGTGTTCACGATGCAGCCTGCCGAGGGGCGGATTCGGTGCCTGCCGAGGGGCAGGGAGAGAGGGGAATTTACAGAGGCCCTTCGAGGTCCTCGCCGAGGGAACCGTTCCACGGAAGGGTCTGCGGAAACTTTCTGGGTCTTCGCAGGCCCCCTCCTCCCCTCCACTCCACTCTCCTCTCTCTCTCTCTCTCTCTTTCTCTGTTGAACGTATTTTTGGACGACGCGTCGCTCGTCTTGGACGGGGGGTGACGGAAGTCGTGAGCGGAATAGAGCATGTTCGAGTCTTGTAAGAGAAATCGATCGTGGAATCGTTTTTGAATCGAGATACAGTGGACTCGCCGAGTAACGACACGCTCTATCCCCCAGGGTGTCGTTCGATCTGTTCGTCGTTGAGAAAATTCTTTTTCAGAGTAGAAACAACGAGGATAAATAAGAAACAGAGAGATCGAGGAAATGCAATTTTATCGAGCACCGATGGAAAGAATAGAAACATTCTCGATGATACTAGTTATTAAGTTTTAGATATGTTATTTTAAAATTTAGAACCTGCTCGCAACTGAACATTTTATTTTAAAAAACGAAGAATATTAATCATATGCTCCTGGTCGATGGAATTTTAAAATATAGCAACTTTAATTGTGAAATATTGAATATTGCCCAATCATATGCTTCATGAAATTAGTTTTGCAATAGCATTTAAAATTCTGAGCAACCCTCTGATCCATTGGTTGAATGAGAATGATGACATTGGATGGTAAGTAACGCGTACGAATGTTTTCGCGATCAAAAATTAATTTGATGAAAAGTATTTAATGAAAAAGTAGCACATTTAGGATTTGGACTTCTATTTTATTGCGTAAATTATTTAGAACCGATACTTGTATCACATTTTCCACAATTTTCAATATTGTTTGTGTTTTTCTTACATAGAGGTACATATTTCCTTCTTCAGTATGCTCCAATTAACGCAATTATGCATTCACGTATGCATAATATTAGGTCAATGTTTTTCCAAGTAGAGGGCGCGAAGAAAAATTGCTAATGCAGGAAGATATGAATAACATCTATGTATAGTAATATATTGATCAACAGAATTGGAGTCGAAAAATTCTAACTGTATCGTAATAAAAACTGCATGAAACTAACCGAGTTCTAAATCGATTGAATACATTTAAAATAAAGTCGAAATTGGGCATCGTTCTCAGTAAGATTTATTATCCAAGAAACGTTATAAATTAGGCAAATAAACTGTATAGATTTGTTAACCAGCCCTGATGCTTAAATGTAAAATACATGTACCTACATACCTCGATTATTTTATCCTTCGTCATAGAGAAGATTCGAAAGCGACAACACGAGAATTGCGAAGTGTCTGAATATTTCTTAATATTGACGATTTTACATATCTCATTGCCAGCTCCTTACTGAGAGGCGACTTGAAAGAAAACTTGGATGGCAAACGCGTATTGTCAACAGACTACGGGTTAGGTATATTTCGACGTTAGTGGTAGTTTGGGTGTTTACAAAAATTCTCGACGCAAGGCCTTGCGATTTCGGTACAATGACGAAATTCCACAAAAACTTTCCAAAGTGATTGAAACGACGTGGTCGTGGAAAAAAAAAACATACTGCGACACGTGACAATTTACAATAGTGCATAATAAAATACATATATTCCGAAATGATATCTAATTATTCATCTGACCCCATCATTCAAGTTTAAATTATAGAATTACAACAGAAAACATCTAAGCTTTAATTTCTTTTTGCAATTAATTGAAAAGATAAAAATCTCAATGGAAGAGCAAATAAATGCAAGAATAATAGGAAATTAAATTAGAAGAATTGAGTTTCAAAGAGTCGAGCTGTGAGTCGATATTGAGTTTTTCGAGGCTTTCTATTTATAGGAAAATTCGATATCTGGGGCGAAGGATCGATCATTGTTACACGAACCGCGTGAGAATTATCTTTTCTTCGATTCTCTCTCACCAAAGTTTCAGGTTTCGATTAGTCATTCGTCGTATCTCGCGATGATTCACCAGGTAGAACACGAAGGACTAAAACGAGAGACCGATCTACCGTGAAATTACAAAGAAACCTTCGATTACGAGTGACAATATTAATGGGTTGGTCGCTACTGAAAGGCTGTCTAATTCCAAGTAACAAAGAATCGTATTGTTCTCTCGTCCTAGGGCTCGTCGTGGAAATTTCACAGGAGAGCTTATGGCGTCGCAATTGTGTTTCTCTACGAATTGCAGGTAACTGCATTGCCACATGAAAAGGAAACGACGCTTGTATCCTCGTCGGCATTTTCTGCTGCTCGCTGAGCTTGATCTGGACGAAACCAGATGCCAGCAGCTACGATTCGAAATGATCGACGCAACTTTATCATGCAAGTCGTGATCGATCATACAAATAAAATTCTATCTTTCCAAAAATTGCAAAATTTTCAAACGATTTCGACTTGCACGAACTTAAATCGGATTGCACAGTTTTGGAATTTTTGTCTGTTAGTTCGTATCGAGTTATTAAACCACCGCTATTTTATTATTTATATAACAATCGAACAAGCTAGGCTATTTATCATTGCACATTTGCACAATTATCTTCATTACACGAATATTTTTTTTTAATACAATTTTTAACTGTTACGCTCTTTCTGCGCGTCATTGTATTCGACCAACGCATATTACTATCCGTACATCCATCATTTAAGCCCTACGTTAATAGATTAGAAAGAAGGCGCGACAACCATTTATTAAAAGATAAATGCGGCCGTAAGAACTGGAGGTTTTGAATGCCTTCGGCGAGCAAACGCTTTGCAATATCGTCCGCGTCGGTTGCAGATATTTTGCACGTGTCTGCACAGGTACACAGTTCGCTATAAATAAATGAAAGGCAAGTACATCCTAAGGACGGTAAGGGCAGCCAGCGTTGCGTAAAAGATGACGCATACCGACGTACGGGCGTGCGTAAACGCGCAGGAAAATTTATGGAACGCGTGTAAGTTCCTTGTGACGATAAAAGGGCGCGTAAAATTGGGAGGATCGATCGAACGGCGCTTTTAGCGGACCGTGTAATAAATGTAAGGCACGTTTAAGTAATTAAAAAAACCTGGCGACGTCGTTACAGAACGGCTCCCGCTATTAATTAGAACGCATCGAATTTTTTCGCTTTTAATAGCCGAGGCCTCAACTAGAGGGGAAAGATAATTAATTTTCGTTTCTTTGATTCCAAAATTTGTGTATTTTATTATATCAAAATAAAAAATTAAGTTCAAATTTTATTTCGATATAATTCAATACCAAAGTTTAGATTTTTCTAATATACCACGCTTGAAGATATTAACTAACACTCATACCGACTCATACACGGAGAATTTCTGTTTTCAGTGACACATTTATTTGTTCCTTTTACTCGTTGTTTTTTATTTGGAGATCTTCGGGAAATGAAACGACGAAGACGTGGTTGGAGAAGAAAGTGTCTCGGGATCGAAGTTTTCAGGAACGATAAGACTAACCTTATCGACGTCAAGGCTCGACGTCATAGTGTGTTGCACGTGGTACGAGTCATTGCTTATTATTCTCACGCAGATCACGAGGAATACTATTGCGCGTGAACCACGCGAGAAACGGCACCTGTTACCGTTCTCTGTAGCAAAACATCCTCTATTTACTAAGTGCAAATATTCCTGCAAGTATACTGTACATCGAGAAAAGAACAACAGCAGCCTTGTTACGAGTTACAAAAATTTTTGAAATAGGAAATCGCGTTAACACAGCTAATGTTCTTCAAAATACCATTTAAGTTATGTGGATCATTTATTCCAATAATTAAAAATCTGTGTGTTTATGACTTCTACTATTTTTAACCGATACAAGTAATTTTAGAAGACAATTTTACCCCTTCCTTATTGACATGTTAGGACAACGAAATTAGTGAAACGGAGATCTTCTGTTAGCGAATTAATTATTTATTCATAGCACACGGTCTGTATACTGTATGAAGACTCGACGAAGTTCTCAAGGAAGTGGATCGAAACGTCATCGTGTCACGTAAATAATTAATCACATTCGAACAGAATCCGTTTCACTAATTTTGTTGTTTCAACGTATTAACGTAGGGAGGAAATTGTCTTCTAAAATTACTCGTTTTGGTTAAAAATAGCAGGAATCACACACAGATTATTCGATAAAGAATCTGATACTTAATTACTGGGCAACCAAAAGTTGTATCATATACATTGTTGGTAAACTGGACAATATTGCAGTTGCGAGTAAAAAAGTTAAAAAATAATTCTCTAAGAGATGGAAATGTTGTGCAGGTCTTGTTGCCTGGGCTGCTTGTTCCTCAGATTTAAATCCGTTGGATTTTTATTTTTAGGGCACTTAAAAACATTTGTTTACTCGGCACCCATTGCCAGCGTTGAAATGCTTCGGCAACGTACAGGAAAAGATTACCAACGAATCCGATAAAATACCTAGAAATATAATAGAGCATAACGCGTAGGTTGAAAGTAGCCGTTTGGAGGACAAAATGCATAAATTTCTTGTGGAATAAAATAACATCGATCGAGAGAATTATAAATTCGACCCCTCCTGACCACCCTCCGATCTAAAAAAGTATGATAAAACCTTAGCAAAACGCGTAAACAAAATGACCTACTAACAATGCATGGACACACCTATTTTCCAATTTCCAACACCTGGGTTGATACTGTCGGGGATTTAGAGGGATGTGAATCGAGAATTAAATTAAATTTGGGTTATTGAAAATAAAATGGCGAAGTTGACTTTGCGTTAAGATTAAGGGACGAAGATTATTTTAATAAAACCAGCCTGCACGGACCCAACGGCAAAAAAGAACGAATCTCTGAAGCAGAGAGGACGGGTGTAAACAAAATAACATCGATCGAGGATATCTTGGCAAGATGGAGGAACCGTTTGCCAGCAACGAAGACACGAGACCCAACAACGCGTAAAACCTCGCGAAAATCATCGACGTATCGTCTCATTGACGCTCCCCGTCTTTCTCTTTCGTAACCGATGTTCACGGCGTCTCTGTTTGTCGGCGACGTCGAGCGTCCATCGGCGGGTCGTTCGCACGCAGGATCGCGAAGCATGGCGGGCATCGGTCGCCTGGGCTGCGCGGGCGTCGGCGTGGTCGTTTCACGGCGGCGTTGGCGGCGCGGCGGGTAGGTTCGCGTCGCGGCGCCTCGCGTCAGCGTCGCTGGGACCGTCGACGGAGGCCAACAGTGGTGGCCAACGCATCGCGCGAGCCGCGTAAATCCGCCATATTGGCCGCGAGGGCACGGCTCTCCGCCGCGACGAGAGATCGGTCGGTGATCGAAGGGGGTTGGGGAACGAGGGCGTAACAGGGTCGTGTTGCGTTAACCCCTGGCGAGCCGGGCGACGGGGGTGGCGGAAGGGAACAACGTACCAAGACGCGGCTCGCGGAGATACGCCTCGAAACGTTTTCCAAACAGTCCGTGTGACAGGGGGTGATAGGGGGTGACAGAGAGCGATAGGGGGAGAGAGGGAGACAGGGCGAAGAGGGGGGCGAAGGAAGTGTGCGACAGTGATTCGGGGGTTCGAAAGGTGTCCAGTGAAACGGAGAAGAGTCTCGAGATAGGTGGCTCCGACCTTGCTCTACATTCCTCCGGTCCGAGCGAAAGACTTGTAAAAAGATCGAGTGGATCGTCGGTATCCGAGAGATTCTCGAGGTCCGTCGAGGAGCGTCGATCGGTGGTTTTTCCGCGAACGGTTCCTCGAGCAACGGAATCGGACTCTCGGTGACCAAGCGTGACAGCGGGGCTCGTCTCTCCCTCTGGTCTCTGCCAATCAATAACCCAGCGCTCCGAGTCGCTCGCGGTCGGTTCTCTGCCCCCCGCTTCCCCTCACGGTGGTCTCGATCCGTCGCGTCGGATCGTCGGGCGGAAAAATCGTCCAGATGCGTTGAGAGAGGTCCGCGGGCATTACGCGCGATGCTCACCGGTTTCCCTCTTCCGTACGACTCGTTGCGCTCCTCTCTTCTTCCCTCTTCCTGATCCGCTCCCCTCGGTGCCGCGGTTCCGTTCCAGCCGCCCTTCTAGGCGTCCGACCGCCTCCCACCGCGGGTCAAACCGACGGAGGGAACGCGCCGCGACGTCGAGCCAGAGGCGGCGGTAGCGGCGCTCTAGCCAGCCGCGCCAGCGCCCTGCGGCGGCTTCAAACGTACACGAACCTATTTATACGACGTCGAGCGTCGCCGTGAACGACGCAGCGAGAGCAGCGCCGGTGCTGGGCCGCCCACGCCGAGCAACAAGCCCCGAGGGAAGCGAGCCGACGGGGGCAGCCAGGAGACACCCCGATCGACGCGGAGGTTCGCTGGCCCTGATCGATGGACGCCCAGGAGCCGGACATCCCGATGGGACTGGATCGCCGCGACGGGTGTCGGGAGAGCGCCGCGAGCGGTGCCCACCCATAGGGGACGCCATTGAGAGCCTCGCCATCGTCTTGTCCTCTGACCCGGGTGCTGCTGCTGATCCACCCTCCCGCGTACCGTTTTTCCGTAATCGCGATCCGATATCCGCGTCTTGGACCCGCGGCTGGCTGCCGATCGGTGGATGGGGCCGGGTCGCCACGGTCCGTTCGGCAGTCGTTGAAGTCGTGGCCTGCTGGTAATCGTGGAAGGCCAACGGCGTGAAAGCTCGCGGAGCTTTCGGGCCTGGACGTACCGGGAGGCGGGAAATGGCTGGCGGCGTATGATGCGCGAGACGGATCGTCTGGCTGGACCTCGACGCGCCGATTCGAGTCGGTTCGAGACGAAGAAGACGAGACGGTCGTCCTAGCCTGGGGTATTTTACGCGAGTGGGTTCCTGCTGGTGCCGCGTATGTGTCCGTCCGTGAGTGCGTGAAGAGTTCGGTAGTATCGAGGTGCAGGAAGAATGCAGCCGCGTTTGGGCGAGGCCCGTAGAGGCCTTGGTCCCGTCTACGGACCGGGATAAAGCCGATACCGCGGGAAGGATCATCCGGGTGAACTGACTGGTCGCGGGTGACCGACGGCCGACGTTTCGCGTACACCGTCCCGGTGAGCCCAAGGTGCACAGAACGCGGGAAGCGAGCTGGACTCGCTTTCGGGCGCATGGAACATGATAGAGGTGAGGCGTATGCGATTATCGATCGATCAGAGCCACCGGAGTCCGTCGGCCGAGAAGACTCGCGGGAGATGCCCTGGACGCGCGAGACGATCGCTCTAAACCCTCTTCGTCTCTCATTTTCACTTGTCTTTCAAATATCGAGAATGGTCTAATTTCGAGCTGGACAGAATATACAAATTTTCGGTATTTGTATCATTTTTTAACAATTGTAAGAAACAAATCTTTTTTTTGGAAGTAGGAGAGAAAAATATATTACTTGCGAAAGGAAAAGAATACAGTATCAAGTGTAACGATACCGTAACAACAGGTGACAATATAGACAAAATGCGTAACTATAATTTGCGAAAGAAGAGAGTAATATGGTCGAATAAAAAATATGGCGGAAAGAACTAAGAAGGTGACAAAGTAACCGAAAATTTGATCCAGTAATAGCGGAACCACGTGGTGATCCAATCATCATAAGTGCTAATTGATCTTTTCGTGAAATGTTCCTAGTTTGAAAAAGACTCGTATGGCCTACCATCTTTTTAAAATCATTTTCATTAGAAACATTGCGTTTTCTTGCCTCTAAATTTTAAGAATACCGTAGATTTTTTATTGAATTGATATCCACTGTAACAAGCTGTTCGAAAGTATTGTACAATACCCACTATCTGGTGTTTCTGACAGTATGTTTTGGATCGTTGTCCTGCTAAAAATAATTTGCACACTCATGCCCAGTTTAACATCGTTTCCTAGCAAATTGCTCCGTAACTCGTCGATATAGTTTAAGATTGTCATGTACAGTCGACGTTTTGAGAAATTTTACATAGACAAACGTACAAAAAAAGACATGATAGTAGAATGGAGGTATTATATTATTGAAAGATAAAATTTTCCTCTCGAAATGCCAACTTCCTTTGATAAGTTTAGATAAACTGCAGAGGATATTTTTCCAGATAGGATAACAATTTCCTCTACTCTGTACGACGAAATGCATCCCGAGACACCTTGCTCTGTCGATTTTAGTATCACTACCGCTATTATACTCTGTCTACCAAAGAATTTACGTGTTAAATTGTTTGTAGTATCTTTCGACAAACGTCACTGGTCACGAGAAACGTAAGCGACGTTTATTGTTTGAACAAATTAATTATTTCACGTTAAAAAATAATCATCTTGATGTCCAAGAATATTATAATAATATACTGCATGCCTGAAGAGGTTAACACGTGTTCTTGGTAACATTGACTATGTTTGTTTATGCTGGCCTTACTTATGTAGGGTAATTTTCTTGCAACACTACCATATTTTCCCGACGCATGCAATCTTCGTCCAATCGTTTGCACAGATGGTGCATATTTGCTTCTTTCTTTTTAACTTCGCCAATATTTTAAGTTCTGATGAATATGCATCGGACGTGGAAATGTTTGGAGTCCTTGTATCTATACAGATAGTTACTATTTTCAAAATGAAATCCTAACCCAAAATAGATAACCTATTTCTTCGATATAGATCGTTGGGCCTGAAATTATATTTTTCAATTGTCGCTCGACAAATTAAGATTCTGAAACACGATATTTTCTGGGACACTCTAGTAGAACGTTGCTTCGTTAACATCGGGGAATACCGAATACGCGGAGCCGGGTAAAGACTCGACCCAACAGCTGGAAGGCATCGGTAAACCGTGAATTCGGGTTGGCCGCTGGCTAGCCTGTTGATCCAACCAGGATTTATATTCGGCCATGGACGGAACCGTTGCCTCTGACACGCGCCGAAACCAGGAACCGTTTCGCGATCTATGGACGCATACTAAGCAATCTATACATTAAAATTACTATTCCAAACATTCCATCATTCACCAAAGATTCCACTAACATTTCCCCACATATTTCAAGCCATACAGAGTATCGAAATAAAATTAATCAACATGGTCTAACATGGTTCATCATCCATGAAGTTACAAAGTGCAATTGCATGTTTTCTTTCAAGCCCTGACCGGTGGTACTTTCAGCTATAGAAAAATTAAAGGAAAAAATGTCTAGAAGTACTGTCGACGCGGAAATCGAACTAATTTCGCGTCAACCAGCGAGTCAGGGTAAACAAATAAAGCGGGTCTCCGCTCGACTGACACAATACGCGCGAAGTGTGCCTCGACGAATTTAGGAAGCCGCATTCCTCATGCCGTGCACGTGCTCTCCAATTGAGCAATGCGTCGACGGGGTCGATCCACCGACGCGCCCGCGTCGATAACGAGCCGCGTCGCGGCGCTTCGAGGGATATTCGAACGTTTAAAGTTTAACGGCGGCTGAACCGCGACACGCGCATCAACAAGTGTCCGAGACGCGTTGCATAATTAGAACAAGTGGCACGACTCGAAACACGCGTCCATGTACAAGGTGCTTCCAAGATAATCTTGTTATTTGCATCCAGACAGGAAGCGCATACTTCAACTTCATTTATTGGCGACGTTAAACTTCTGTCTTTGGGGACCAGCAACATCTAGAGATATGATCACTCTTTTTTATTGAATTTTCTATCGCAAACTGTAGTGGTGATCATTCGGAATGGGTGTCCTAGCATAGATCATTGGAATCAAATTTTGAGTAACTTTTACAGTAATCCCTCGAACGATGCCAGAATTTATAGAGTATAAAAACTGTATAGTTGATTTATTCTTCACACCTGGCGCTCCCTGTAATACCAGTGGCATCAAAACGATGCAAATGATCGCGACATTAATTTTGTAACGCGCGTAATCCCGAGTTAAAAATATTTTTCTATCCCCTCCCTATCCTCGAAGAATGTAAACACTGTGCGAATGCACTTTTGGGCAACGTTCCAACGATTAGGTGATTCAGTATCCCGAGATCCCCGTCCATTTTGTATCTGTTACGCTTCCCGTATCGTTTGAAACGTGTGTAAATATTATTTTGTTAAATGTTAAATGGTTCTTCCCAAACTCTCGTCTTCCTCTTCCGTTACGACCAGTCTAAATATTTCTAACCCCGCGGGACGTGAATTTAATAACCCTGTTATTACCGAGAACATTAAAAATAATTACGCTTGCTGACAATTTCAATAATAAAGTGAAAACAAATCAAATTGATCTTAGAATTCCAAAGATTTCTTTCCTTAATTATTGTTTATTAATGATGAATCTTGCTAAATTAGTCACTAATTACTGTTTGTACCTCAACCGATGCCAAAAATTACCTTGCATAAAATTCTTAATATCCACTTCTATTTTCGCCGCTCTAATGAATCAACTTTCCGTTCGTCGAAGATCTTTCTATCGATCGCCGCGATCTTCTATCTTGAACCACGCACGTGGATCCCAGCGAAAGTCTGTTGTTTATCAGTCGCTGCCCACAGCCCGTATTAGCGACTGTGAAGCATGGTCGTTATCGTGCGAAACCGTTCGTGGAGCAGATCATCGATGTACACCGTGGCGTAAAAATAAAGCGGCCTCCGAGTGGGAGTGAGAAAGGCTGTGCAAGCGCAGAGCTTTGCTCATTGGAGCCGCGATCCACGAGGTTCCTTTGCTGGCCACTCGCTGGATTTTAACGGTCTGATAATCACACAATGAATAGAAATTATCAGTTTTCCCTACCTCGAACGTGGACAAAATTTCTATCTAAATAGAAACTGATTCGGGAGATGCTTGAGAAGCTTAAGAATCGATCAAATTTTTGAATTCTTCCTCGATTCGTATAAATAATTACCATTGATTTTTAGTACGAAAAACCAATGGAGAGAGTCTTCTTCGAAGTATGAAATAAAATTCATAAAATCGAGGTTTAATATTCGAATGATTGAGATACGATTTAAGCTAGGATGACGCGGAAGTTGCAAAAGAAACGAAGGAAATTTTGCTTTGAAAGAAAATGAGGGGCGCGGCTTGATATCGTGCTGGATCATTTTCTACCGTCCTTTGACAATTAAAAACATTGTCCCCTTTGTGAGCACGCGAACAGTAAATTTCTTTGGCGAGTCTTGCATTCGGTTATCGTTGTTTTCGCGCTAACTTTGAAAATACGAGTGGATCGATAGATGCAACCGAGCACGACGACAATGGTATCCAAACTAATTGGCTGCCTTTTGAAAGCTTATGTGTCAATTATCGTACGGTCAGCTTGTTTCAATTAAAGCTTAACGACTGTGTCGTGCTTCCGCGTGTGAACCCGACTGTGATGTTTTTCAGGTGTTCGAGTAATCTCAGAATTGGTCCAGTTTCGATACTGGATAAACCCCACTCGCGTTCCAATTTTACTGAAAACTCTGTTCCGGCTCTCTGTAGCCGATCCCAATTTGGCGCGACCGAAACAAAGTGGGAAATTAGAGGATTCGAACGAACAAAGAGGATTGAACGAATAATAGCAGAAAGTTCCATTGGCTATTTTTAAATTTGATAAAGATACATTTTATTATTGTATTATTTTAACTGACGCGAGGTAAAAAATTCGAATGGATAAAGAGAATTGAAACACAGAGAATTACAATGGTTATTTTTAAATTTGATAAAGTGAACATTACTTTACAGTGGACTGAGTTTGAATCGTCGTTCATTGCGCCAATGGATTTTACCCCATTTTCTATAAATCTAAAAATTTTATTCATAGTTTATTCTTGGCTCTACTTGTTATCACATTACCCCATCGTCAATTTCACATTCTTCGATCACATTATCGAGTCGAACTCCTCCACAAGATACCTTCCACTTGAAAACCCTCCAGAAGACAATATCTAACCCTCTCAGCGCCCTTGTAGAAGACAGCTTCCACGCGCAACTTGAATACTGCCACTTCAGAAAGATTTAACGCTTCGTTTCGAGTAAGAGACTATCTGCATCCAGCTAATTACTTCATCGTCGCAAAAGGACTCCTCTGTTTCGGAGCAGTTTAACCAGTTTCGATCATTGCATCACTGGATACATTTTAGCGTCAAGACTCTACCTATCACATGTCAATTGTTCACTACAGTTTTACCTGTTTTGGATCAAATATTCGAACGCCCACCTGGAATCTCTCTACCAAAAACAACTCCCTCTTGGAACTCTCATTTCAGACGCCTCTAGAACCTAACACCCACTCGGAACCAATTCAGGAAACGACTCCTGCTAGGCTCTATGCTCTGTCAAATCAGGACTTAATATGTCTCTCCAAATGAATCATCTTCGTCCCAAATCATCCACTTTTCTCATCATCTGTACGTCTCTTCCTTTCACTCCTGGCTTATCCTTAGCATCCAACACAATTTCGATCGCTTTCCAGGATTTTCCTCACCTTAGAGATGCCATCAACCACTTACTCCCAAGTTCAGCCCTGCCAAATCAGAAAGACTGTTTCTCAAAACTGTGACCCCTTTTGGAAGACCAGGTCCACCTCCATTTAGTATCAACTCTGGAACCAAACGCCCATTCAGAGTCCCTAAATCGAACGACTCCTCGCAGTCATTCTCTCTATTTTGATCGTTATGTCACGGTGCGCGAGTTCGGGGGCGAACCTCCGGATCGCGTCACGAAAATCTCAGCCGTCGACAAGGTTAAGGTCAAGCACAGAGCGTCGGCCACGGCCTCGGTGACTCGGTTGCGCTTATTTTTAGCCGACGGTCGGCGGTTTCCGTGCGGAGCTGGCCGGCCCACCAAACACGAGATATCGTTTGCAGATGTCGAGCGGAATCGGTGCAACTGCAATGGGGATCGGCGTTAGTCACGGGACAAGCGGCGGCGAGGGTGTCGCCGGTGGTTGCCGGCTACGCGCCCAGAGCCAAGGCCAGGCGTCCGGGTCCTCGTCGCAGCACAGCAACCCTCAGCAGTCCGTGCAGCAGCAGCAACAGCAGCAACAGCAGCTGCAGCAACAGCAGCAGCAGCAGCCGTCGTCGCAGCAGCAGCCGCAGCAGCAGCAACGCCAGGGCTCCGGGATCATGGGCCGCTCGAAGAAGGACAACTGTTGCCTGTGCTGGTGCTGGTGCTGTAGTTGCTCGTGGTATTATCGTTCCTCTCTATTTCCGGCCAGAGTCGGGCAGAATCTTTGCCTCGAACAAACTATTTCGTACGGCTGCTTCAAGGTACGAATCTTTTTATCCGTCGTTCGTCCTGCCGAGACGACGCTAGGTCAGTGTTTCTTGAACTCGAGAAACATCCACGCTGACAACTTGGGTTAAAAAGGTGTATCGCAAGTTCTGATTCCTTAGATTCATCACCCTGAATTGTCTGGGATTTTTTTAAATGTTTTATCATTTTTTATACGAGAAATAAGGAATAAGAAATTTTAACTGCACTAAACTTCGACACTTTGGCAATTTATTTTTGGTAAGGGACCACAGTTTGAGAAACACCGAATGACGGATAAGAATGTGGTATTGTTTATTCGATTGATCCTTAAATTTTCTATGGGTGTAAAAGATCCAAGTTATGTTTTGATTTCCTAGATTAAAGTAGATTAATATTTTCTATGTAGATGATGCCCGTCTCTGGTTTCTACCTGTGTGTCCTCGCGTCGACGAAATTTGCGCGATTTGTGGGTGGGTCGGGGGTAGCGACGAGGGTTTGTTTCGACTCTTTTGATTTCATCGTGAAATTTGGTTGTTAGAGAAAGATTTCTGTTCTCGATGATAGTGGTGCATTTTGGGTTGGTTATTAAATTAATTGTAGAATCTTGGATGAAACAATGGTACCTCGGGGTTGAAAAGAAAGCATTGTTCTTAACCCCCAATTGTATAGTATAACCAAATAGGAAAATACGACGTTTTAATAGCATGGTACAGCTTCTTTCGGTAGGAAGTTCTCAAAGAAGTTCTTCCAAATACTTCGACACGCTATCAACTACTTCACTTTTCTTTTAGGTCTTTCTGTTACATTCTTAAGGAAATAGTTTCTCTGATACTTGGAAAACGATTCTCATAGATTTTTAGTACCTTCTGCGAGACTATAATCAACTATTTTGCCCGTTAAAAGTAACAATGATTCTATGAAATTTCATGCACGACGCGTCTCCTCGCAACAATATCGAAACAGTTCCTGAACAATAACACCGAGCTCCGCAAATTTCGTCTGGACGATTTCATATTTCACTCCGTATTCAGAACGTTGAACATTTCCACGCTTCGAAACTCCGTTCTTTCTCTCGCGACGATACGTTCTGGATACCGGAAGCTCTTCAAAGACAACGGACAATTGCGACGATGAAACGTCGGTACGTGAAAAAGGAAAAAAAAAAAAAACCGAGAACTACTGAAACTCGACGATCGAGATTCGATTCGCGAAAAAAAAAAAAAAAAAAAATGGCGGAACTTCGGAGCGCGAACGATCGATCCTCGGTAACCGTCTAGCGATAACTCGTATATCCTGTCGCGTGACAAGCCATTATCGCCGCGTTTCGCAATATAATCGTCGGTGGAACGATGTCAGTCCATTGTCTTTAAACGGAGCTACGACCTATTTTACCGTCGAGCAGCCGTACCTACGTACACTCTTTCTCTGTTTCATGCCGCACGCAGGAATAAATGGTAAGCAGGCCACGCGGCTGGACTCGTTAAAGCTGTTCGCGTCGTTAACGCCGTGCAGGCTTGCCTAAAGACGCGCTCGATTAAGTTCGAGCCACGTTTGGGTTAATTAACGCTTTGACGGCCGCTGTCACGTGTACGTGACTTCGTTAGCCAGCAGTTATCGACCGATGTCGCGTACACTAATCCCCCAAAGTATTTGATCGTGCATCCGATGCAAGCAACGTTCATTTTTGTTCCCACGGAGCGTTAAACGCCGAGACGCTAAACTTTCCGTTTAGAAAGGAGCTAGAAAGGCACAGGGGCCAACGGTATCAAATTTTTTTTCCAGAACTTTCTAGTCACTCGTATATTACTTATTTCAATCGAGGCGATAGTTCTTTGGGGAGTACGAAAACTTTCGTGACGGACTGTACATAGGCGTCTCCCTTCTCCTTGATGTAATTCAAATCCCAACGATTATCCGTTGGAATGCATATCACCGGATATCATAATCATTTTCTGATAGTCGCGTCACCCAACTCGAATAGAACCGAAGATATTCCACGTCGAGAACGATTTCACCCCTTCGAGCCGGAGTTCCGCACCAACGAAAAATAGTTTCCCGTTACGGATAAACTGCACTATTTGCACGCAACTTTTCAAAATTTTCTGAATTCTCCAAGACATTCCAACCCCCCCTGGCAAACTTAAAATACCTCTGTTGTGCGATGCACCCTTTCATTTCGATATTTTTGGTTATCCGTTATTCGAGTAAAATTTTGTTCGTCTCCGTGGTCGGGTCGATAACTTGCGAGGGCGAGTTCGTGGTCGAAAAACCCTACGGATGGACGACACGTGTCCCACCCTCGGGTGAAATCTGGTCGCGCGACGGAGGGAGAACGATCCTAGGCCAGGGTCTATCTGCTTATAATAACCGTGCGGCTTTCTCTGGTCCGTTCCGGCGTTATCGGGCAGGTCGACTGTTCGCGGAACGAAACGAGGAAGTTGGCAGGAAATAATGGACGCCAGGGCTGGAGACGCGGTGGAAAGCGAACTCCGCGCGGCTCCTTTATTTTCGCCCCGTTCCGCGCCGTGCGAACGTGTTTCAGTTTATCGCTCCGGAGCATTGTAGCGTGCCTCTTCCCCGACAACGCGTCAAACGAGGGCTTGCTCTTTGTCCTGTTCTCGCTCATTCTTTTCTTCTTCTTTTTTTTTCTCTCTCATTTTCTATTCTTCGTCGTTTGCCGCGTCTCGCAAAGGCCGCGTCGTCGTCGTCGCGATAAGAAGGGTTGCTTTTCGGAACGCGTTTCCGGGATCTCCGTTCACGAGCGCACGCGGTGGATAATTTTGCAGCGCAGAGAGGTTGTAGTTGGTGACAAAAGTATGCTATCGAGACGGTGGACGGTGCCCGAGGTAACGATCGATTATTTATGTCGATGGAAAAGAACGACTGGCAATAATTTGTAGCTGGACTCGTAAGTAACTATTTAACGAACCACTCGTTGTTATCTTGTTAGACAAACTGTGTTAAAATTAGTAGATTTCGACAGTAGTGAGAACGTGTTGCTTGATGAAATTTTATTATTAACACTAGATTGTTAAATATTATTTGTCACCAATCTATGCAATTAATGTTTGTAAATCTAGTGTTAAGGTGAATCGTAACGATTTAAATGTGTATATTTGTTTCGTAACTATATGCCTTGTCAGGGAAGATAATTTTGTAACATAGACAATTATAATAGGAGAAGTATATTTTGGAAACGGTGAGCAGTGTCTTCGACAGTGATTATTTATACCTGTGTTTTCGTAATTCTTCGAAAGCTTATATTTTCGAACAAACGTTTCGTAATTATCTTGATCGACAAATATAAATTTAACTAGTGCATTCCGGGCAGGATAGAAAGAGAATAAATTTCTACATATTTTTCTTCGAACGACTTTGAATACGAAAAGTCCAGGTATACCTCCCTTATCTTGAGCACCTTCACTATCTCCAACGCTTTGTGCGATACAAAGAAATTTTGAAGAAAAGGTTCCATTTTAGAGGGTGCATGTTATTTTTTCGGAATGTCAAGCTTGTAATCTGACAAATTGCTGAGAGTTTGTTTCGTGGTCGTTGCGAAGATATGAAGTCTAATTGGGGTTGACTACTCGACCTCGCGCGAAATCCTCCCCCAAAACCTAACCTTCCATACCCCTTCCTTAAGTAAAAAAAGAACGAACGGGCGTAAACTGAATGATAAAAAGGAAAAATGCGACTGAATCCACAGTTTGGCGGCGGTGGGTGGCAACTCGACGGGTGCAGGTGGCGCTGGTGACCAGGGCAAGAAGAAGGGCAACGCGAGCGGCAGCGGCGACCACGGGAGCGGCGTGGGTATCAGCGTGGAGCTGTCCGGCAGGGGGAACGGCACCGACGGCAACATGGAATGCAGCCTGGAGGAGGTCAGGTCTTGGGGCTCGTCCTTCGACAAGCTGATGAGGAGCTCAGCGGGTCGCGAGCACTTCAGGGAGTTCCTCGTCAGCGAGTACAGCGAAGAGAACATTGCCTTCTGGCTGGCGTGCGAGCAGCTGAAGCGCGAGACCAATCCGGAGAGGATCGAGGAGACGGCGCGCTTCATCTACGAGGAGTACATATCCATACTCTCGCCGAAGGAAGTGAGTCCTGGTCGGGTCGAGAAGAGCTCGAAGTTAACGAAAAATCGCGAAAAGAGCTGTCAAAGACGATGCTACGGTCTTGTCTTATATTGGGTTTGGTTTCGGTCCCTGAGAATTTCTCAATTCACAACGATTTTCGGTTCGACTTTCAAATTTATCGTTAAAGAGGTCTGTTACACGAGTGGGCGTAGCCTTGGGACTTGAAGAAATCGGAGTTTCGTGTCGTTTTCCGATGCACGCGTTCTAAGACAGTGTCTATAGTCGGGACAAGGTTGATTGATCGCCCAAGGCCACTTATCTAGTCGTGAATAGCGTCGGTCACAACCCCTTCTATTACGCAATGGCGGCTTGTCTCTTTCATTGAGAGACAGAGAGCACGTGCACGTAGGTTTGCGCCGAAGATATGGCATACAGAGTAACAAGATAGCCAGACGATACGGTGGGGATAATCCCTGCGTGGCCTTGACCGAGCGATTGATTAAGTCCTGACTGCAGAGGGGAATGCCATCGATAATACACGCTTATTTATGCCATGCACTGCCTAGGTCCGAACTGTATAACATAAGGAATAATCCACGTGATAAACATTCATCTCTCCGCGCGTGAAATATGTTTTTTTATTATCTATTTCGAATATTCTGATCGCTTCATTGAAATTTTATCGAGGAATATTATCTCCCGATCTCCAATATAACCCATAAATTCTTTAATAGCCTCTCTGGTATTCGTTTCGATATTCATCTCCGACCCGTTTTATGAACGACTAACCCCTACAATACTAGATAAAACTATTAATAACACGAGCAGTATTCTATTTTACAAGCTGTTGATAATTAATCGAGGGTGTGACGTTCGACACGGATATACTAAAAAGACGATTGTCAAACGTCTGTTGGTTTCAGGTGAGCTTGGACTCGCGTGTGCGCGAAATAGTGAACCGCAACATGGTGCATGCGACGCCGCACACCTTCGACGAGGCCCAGCTGCAGATCTACACCCTGATGCACCGTGACTCGTATCCACGTTACGTGAACAGCGAATCCTACCGGCGGGTGGCCAGACTCGGCAGCAGACCGCCCAGCCCGACCAACGACGAGCACGGCACGGGCAAATCGAAGGGTAAGAAAGGAACGACGTAATCGCGCGTCGATGCAACGGGGTGGCAGCGGACCAACACACCCTTCGTCTCTTCAGCGGGCAGCCCGACGTAGAACGGGGCCCGCGACGCTGTCAACGCTGGCCGATGACGGGACCCAGGGGGCATCGGCGACCGGAGAAGTCGGGCACGGGCGTCGAAACGCTCAGACCTCTCCCATCGACCATCTACATCGGATAATCTCGCGATGAGATCCCCCGTCGCTCGGGGATCTCGACGAAACTTCACGAAGCGGCTCGCTTTTTCCGCGCGACGCCATATTGGGGCCACGTGACCGCGCTCGCCGCAAAGGCAGCGCACGCGCACGAACTCGACGACGGACCGAACTAACAAGAGAGCAGATCGAACGGAGAGCAACCGAACGAAGAAACGCAGAACAGAAACGGGGGCGAAAGAAATAGCGAAATAAAACGATCAAAAAGATAAGAAACGAACGTAAACGAAAACGTTGAACGGCGCGATCGCGTGGATCATTACTGACTCTTCCTTCCAGGACGCTCTTTGGTACGCTCGTTCACGCGACACGGTGGATCGAAGATCGGGACACACGCGGCTCGGTCGGGGATGACGTTCATCTTTCGAGGAAGTTCCTAAAGTTCATCGTCCGAAGGTGTACCGCGACTGATCGACGCCGAGATGATCTCTCTCTTTCTCCTTGCTCGACGCGAAACGCTGCGTCTGCTCTCTCCCGCTCGAGCACTTCTCTCTCTGTCACTGTTTTGCTTTCTATCCCTCCGCTTCACGCCTTCTCCCTCTTCTCGCACTCTTCTACTGTACCCCTTTCGTCGCACGCGTTGGAGGAGGTCTCTTGCACGAAAGTGATCGAGCATCATTGCGAACGGGATTCGAGAAAACACCTAAGTTCACAGTCGAATCGATGATCTTTCGGTCGATTCGAGCAATCCTTTTATCAAGAGATCAACTTTATTTATATTTAATATTCGAACTCATCGTCTTCAGTAATCCATTCGATAACATCTAAAATTGTTAGACAGTATTATCTACCAATCTTTGTCAAATTATTTCATATATTCCGCTGAAAATGCCCCAAAACAAGATTGTTCGAATCGTCCGAAAAATTAACTTTCTGAATCTATTTAATTTTAATAATCATATTCAAATTGTTCGAAATTTAAAACCCTTTCGATTCACCCTTCGTTTTTCCGTTGCACGTTCCTCTTTCGATCGAACAGATTTCATTTGCGATTGGAATTGTACGCGACGAGCTGAACGCAGAGTTCTCGGCAGCGTGGGTGGCGCTGCGCGTTTCGAAAAAAAGGCGCGCGAAACAGTGACCCGGAGCGCAGGAAGCAACGAACTTTGTTCGATTAATCGTTCGAACGCGACGGCCTCCGTTTCGCGAACGAGGCTCCCGCAAACGAAGAAATTCTTTTCCCGACGTTTCCTCGGCGACGAAATCGAACGTCGACGGAACCTGAGAACGCCGCTGCGCTCGGGAGAGGGATTTCAATTTCGCCTGGTCTTATTTGTGACACCGTGGCGAGCAGGTGCAGGGACTTCCGCGCGCGAGGAGGTGCTTTGTTCGTTTCGTCACAATCGCGATTAACGCAACGGGACCACGAGAAGGGGAGACGTAATTTATTAGCGCACGAAATGGAGTTTCGTTCGCGAAGCAGATCGAGTACATTATACAGCGAGTCTTTCTAACGAGAGAAGCGTCGATCGACTCCGAGACTAACGAAGTAAATTCCACGCCGTAAGAACGGACGCAGAATCCGAATCTTGCTATTGCTATTTTTACTATTGATCATTTTTCACCGAAGGGAACGAGCCACGTTTATTTTCTTCCCTCAGGATAACGGGCGGGTACTTAATCGAGGATTCGCGATCCGTGCGATCGTGGAAGATCGAACGTAGTTCCGGAGTCGATCGAAGCTGTCGAGGCTCTCTCAAAGACGCCGAACAATGGCGGGAAAATTCGAATGGTCAAGTTTCGCGGACCGTGTACAGCGACGATGACTTCAAGTTCACGGACGCGCGATTATTTCGCAACGTTCTCGTGGCGTCGATCGATTAATCGATCGAAACCGTCGGCAACGCGACATCTCGCTCGTCTTTAATTCAACGGCGTTCGTTTAAATGTCCGAGCGCTCGAACAGGCTTTGAATCGCTCGAATCGGCTGAATTTCATCGACGGTTCGCCGTAAATAGGTCTCCGCGTTATCAATTGAAGGCTGACCCAGACGCGGCACGCGTCTCGGCAACCTAATTAGCAATTGAAATTCGCAATCGGCCGCCAATCATTCCCTTGCACTCTGACTTTTCACCGATGCCCCCCATTTGGCGACCTCATTTTCTTTCTGCTTCCCGTCACGGAGCACAAAGCGTTCGAATTTCGTGCAACGGTCCTCGACCGGGAATAATTGTTCGAGTAACGAAGAGATTCTTGCAAATTTTCATCAGACTGACAGCAATGGTAGATATCGGAGTGCAGGGATTGAACAATTCGCATAAATTCCACGTCAAGCTCAACGCATAGCCGAATCGAGACCCTGTGTAGCATCGATTAGAACGAAGCCACCAGTTTTATCCAACTCTTTCCAATTGTAACATCACAGTCTTCCTCTGCTAAATATTAAAGACTAGTATTCGAACAAGTTTAGTTCGCAGGAACATTTTGAGTCTTGAAAGATACTTCGTAGACTAGAAATCGAACGCTCGGGATTGCCGAAGCATCAAAAACTGGTGACTTTGCTTCGACTCGCGCGTGAAAAGAAAATTGAATTTTCGACATTCCTCTCGTTCCTTCTCGTTCGACTGAGTGACGATGAAAAATGGAAATGGACAGAGGAGACTCCCGACGACCTTTTTCGACGACGCCCACTGCGTCGCGACGCGCGTCTCTTCGATTTTACGTGGATCGTTCGCGACGAGAGCAGGCCGTCATCACGACGCGTTCGATGAACGAAGAAAACCGTCGTCCCTGAAGGGCGTACACCTAGTTACTGCCAGCGAGACACACCAAAGGATCGAAACTCGACTAACTTCGACGACCAACAAAACGAACACGACGGAAACGGTGAAAACAATGGGTACGATCTAGTCAGCATCGAGGACGATGGCGTCGATGAAAGGAAAAGGCCTAAGCTTGAAACACTCGGAGCGCGAGTTCGGGACACATCTGGGACTCGATCGGCCGCCATTTTGTCTGCACCGTATCGCGGGGACAAAATTTCGGGGCGCGTTTTCGATCGAAATTACTACCGATTCTTTCTTCGCGAGAAAATCTAATTCTAATGTTAATTACCGATGAAATTCGTACTTAACTTTAATACTAAATTCATTTTCGGATTGCACTTTTAATAGAAAATTTATTTCCTAGTTTCTAAGACATGGAACTTCGCGTTTCTTGGATAAAATCGAACGAGCCTCGAAGTTTGTCCCCGATTCGACAGCGTTTTCGCGCGGAACGTTTAAGTTGCTCGTTGCCGACGTCTCGTAGAAGAGATTCAGTATACCGCCACGTTCTATTGGAAGGTAATTCGTCCACCTTCGTTTCTACGCACCCGATCGTGGCGTTTGTTCGAATCGAACGCCACGTGACGTCCTTAATCGACCAAATTAGTGGACCTCGTTTTAATGTTACCTCCCGAAGAAGGCGAATAAACGGCGCGATTCTTTCGTCTACGAACCGGAAACGATACGAATTTAAGCGTGCCTCGCGATCGTGCGTCGCGCACGCGCACACGTAACACACGCACACGACCAGTCACGTGATCAGGGGCTCCCCCGAACTGCACAGCTTTACCATTTACCAAAGAAACGAACAATGAAAGCTCATAGGTACTTGATTTAATACTTATTGCTGATTCGTCGACGATTGTTGCATACAGGGTGTTGAAAAAGAAGCGTTCTGGTCTTGGAGGGCATTTAATAATCGTTGAAACGCGTAAAGCTATCTTGGTATATTGACTGCCTCGTCGACCGAGCAATTTTTATCGAGTTCTGATATATCCTGAGTTCAAGTATTCAAGTTTACGTGCCCTCTAACGGTGAATCCTTTTCTTTCGATAGCTTGCGTAACCTTAGTTAGCTAATTTAAACGATCATGCTGTGATCTACCTTCTAAGCGAGCGTCGTAATTTATTGTTTATACGATTATTTCGTTTAAAATAGGCTAAGTTATAATCCTACGGTTATAATTAGAGATTTCAGTTTTCGTTGCACCAAAGTCGATGGCGAACCATTCTCACTGTTCTTAAAATTAAGAAATCAAAAGAATCAAATGTCACACGGAGTACTTTCTACGGTTCCTCGAGCTTGTCGATTACGCTTTACACCAAAAGAAATAAACGGGGGAGATTGAAATCGGTCCCTTGGCCACGCGACTGCGCACAAAATCGCTCGAAACTCGTCGAATCGCCGACGCTTAGGGGGAAAAGGATCGATCGATTCTCGCGGGATCGATCGACGAAGGAAAAGCGAAAATCGTCGGGCGAGCCGATCGCACAAGCGGGAAAACCAAGTCGCACAGTCAGTCACAGCGTTTGGCTACTGCCCTGTAGATAATATTATAGATAGTTACACGACGACGATGGCGGATAAAACTAATTATACATGCAAATATATAAATATACATATATATATAAATATAAAAGAAAAAAAAAGGAAGCAAGGAAAAACAAAAATATATATATATATTATAAGTATATATGAAATCACGTACATGTGCTGCATACGTTCGGCATAAGGGTGGCAGGGTGCGAATCGCGCGCGAGGGAGAGAGAAAGGGCGGGAGAGAGTGGGAGGGAGTGAGCGAAACGGTGAGAAAGAAGAGAGATCGGACAATTTTTCATTCGTTGATACCACGTTCCATGCGAGGAGACATTCGCGATCGAATTTTGTCTCGACGAACACGAGGAGGCGTAGCACGCTTCGTCCCCCGCCCCCGTTTCGTAGCTTTCCGCCGCGAGTCGAGAGATCCGGAGGACTTCCTCCAACGAACGGAAGAGGAACTCTTCTTCCACGCGGCTGTCGTTTCGCGCCCGAATCATTTTTTAGACTCGAACCTCGAAGAAACGAGCGGCCCCCACGTCGCGACAGGGGTTGCTCCGACCGACTGAATATTGAATCGAACCTGAGAATATTATTTTCTTACGTTTCATTATCTTCGTCGCGACGCCCCGATACGGTACGGGCGGAAAGAAACGACGCGGGGGTGGCGCGCGCCGCGTCGAGGCTAGAGAAACGAAACGCTGGCGTAAGTGAAGGGTGAAATTTGGTCGAGCGTCATCTTCACTAATAAACGCACAATTTTTCTGAACCTTCGATCCCCTGCTTCTTTCTTCCAGGCATTATACCCCCTTTTATAATCGTCGTTCGACCCAACGGCACGCGTTTTTGTATCTCCCGAACGACAATATTTATACGACACCGCGGAACAACCCTTCTAGCCGCGAAACGATTTCGCGAACGCGGCAAATCCGTTCCACGAGTTCCCGGCGAACACGTCGCCCGAAACTCGGACTCCTTCCCTGTTTTAAGTTCACGCTCTGCGGAATGGGACGATATGCAATAAGAGAGGGATGGAATGTGAGGGTTAATAAAGTGGTGAAAACGATTTACTTGGTCTTCAACTGTCTCTATCACGCGAACAACGGTTTACGAACGCTTTGGGAGACGATTCTCCCCCTAAACAATTGATTTCGTGGCAGGATTAACCGCTCAACTCACTTCTTTTAGAATAACGATACAAAAATATGAATTTATTTATCCTTATACAAATCCCTGTATTTCAGGAAATTTTTATTTCAAGTTACTTTTCAGTTCTCGATGATGGGGGCCATTTTTTCGAGAATGACTGCAGTTTTCGTATCAACATCGAAAACAGAGATAAGACTGTTAGACAAAGGTAACAACCAAAGAGTCAGTTTTACCATTATCGATATATTTTTTTAATCGACATCCAAATTTTTATTCCTTAAAATACTCTTTATAGTTCCAATCTCGCTTTGAGTTTTTGCATTTTTGAAAAAAGTGAATTGAAAAATTTTCCTCAGCCTTAGACAAGCGTTTGAAGAAGTACAGAAATGTTGTTTATTACTTTATTGTAGGTGTCCATGAGCTCTACTTAACGTTGTATTGCCTTTTTCAATCCCTACCATTCAATCCTAATTTAGTGAATAATTTCTCAACTGACCGCCATTCGTGAGAAGAGGACGCTAAAATCATCTTCGAATTTTCAGATCGGTATAGCAGTCAAAAAAAGGTAATGTTATCATCACTCGCGATGTTACCGACAGTCTATAAAAATATCCCATAGCGTCTCTTATGGTAAGAAATGAAATCACAGGAATTCTGTTTTTACCGACATCGACTATGAGAATTAAAACTAAAAGGGAAAGTTACGATTTGATAAACGATCGAAGAATTGATCATTTTGGATCTGATGAAGAAGCTATATTGATACCAAACTATACGAGGAAGATCGCAGCCATTAGCTCATATTATTTACTATGTAATTAATTATGAAATAATTGTATTATACAGTTACGAACGATGTAATTAATTACATAGTAAATAATATGACCCAGGTCTCACCACGAGGAGGTTGCTGCGAATGGAGACCCGCCCTAGCCTCGCCCCAACCACCCTCCTTTGGCGAGGAATCCTAACACACCTTTGGATATTTTTCCCTAACAGAGAAGCGACCAAAAAGTGACCATTGATGGAAACTAACAATAAACTAATAGCTCTCGAAAGAACTATCTGATGAAGAGATCGAAAACCTAACAAAATGTTGATACATGGGAGATAAATCACCACATGTGTTCCAGAAACGAAATTGGAATGTGCAACTGCACTTACGAACTCTGACTGACGAAGAGATCAGAAACCCAACAAGATGTTGATACATGTGAGATGATTCACATGGTTTTTAGAAACAAACTTGGAATGTGCAACTGCACGTACGAATCCTGATTATTAAAGTACCAATATGTACTTTATTGTGTATGTTTCTTCTTGCATGGATGCTTTTATTACGATAGTGTCTAATAAGACACTGAAGATCCAACCAGAAATGTGCAACTGCACGTATGGACCTTGCATATTAGAATACTAATATGCACCTTAATATTAATCATTCGCACTTATACGTATACTTGTGTTTTGGTAAGTACTTAGACGCCACATTATATGCTAATTTATCTTATAAACTATATACATTTGAACTTAATTCTAACGCAATCTGTAGAAACATGAAGTATGGGAAGATATTTTCTTCCTGATGTCTTCTTTAATCCCACGATGTTTTGCTAAAACACACACTAATATACAATAAATATAACACGTATAAAACAAAAAAATATGAGAGGATATTTTCTTCTTGATGTCTTTTTTAATCCCTCGATGTTTTCCTGAAACATAAATCCAGACAATGAATAGAATTGTATGACACAGAAACATCTCTAAAAACGATCAAACTTGAATATTGTTTCTTGCAGTTACTTTTACCATTTCCAATTCTAGTCTTCTATACTTCTAAACTCTGTAAAAAGAACTTGATCAACGGATTAGTAAGCTGAAATGAAAATATATTAGTGGACACAGAAAAGAATAATTATATACTGTCATCGAAAAGTTAAATTCGTCTCAGCGTTAAGATAAATATCAAATGGATTGAAAATTTGATTCATTCGTTACAAAATTGTGCAATCAAAGAATTTTCTTTTTATTAAATACCGTGAATTAAATTTCACTTTTTATGTACAGCGATAGATACTTATACCGGACAAAAAAAACAATGTTGAATATACTTGAAGAAATTTTTCAAAGCGTACAAATTGGAATAATTATATTTTACTGCATCGAAAATTAATTAAGATTCGTACAAAAAAAAGCAATAACGAGCACAAATGTCGATTCCACGCGGAAATGAACACTCAATATGAAATATCGAATTGCAATTTGCATACACTTTCGATGCAAGCATTTTATTTTTCATCTATTGAAACAGCGATCGCGAACAAACTTTGATCCATGCAATGTTTCCGAATATTTATAAAAAGTATCCACTATTTATAAATAAATATCGCGATTGAAAAGTATCCCGTAAAAATGAACTCTAATAACAAATAATTAGTGATATAATTATATATTGAAATCGTGAATTCAATCCAGAATCAATTTAATCGTAATATAGCAATTTTACACGTTATGAAAAATGAAACATTTTGTCTGTATAGAACAGTCCTTTAAAGCAGTATTTCCATTCACAAATATGCAAAAAGAAGATATATTTCACGTTCACTCATAAATTCAGAAAACAACCCGCGAGTGAACCATTCTTTCTTTCGCAACGCTAATTTAATAAAATACAAAAATCGCGAGAGGTGCTTGTTATTCGCAAAATGAACCACGCAGGGTTGCTTTATTAATTATCCCGCGTGCACCAATATTAAATAATACGCAACACTAATTTTAATAATTTCGTTGAGCCTTTTGAGGCTTTGTGGAATCAGCTGCATCTTGATCCTGGTGCAGTGGTTTTGGCCAGCTTTTGGGCATTGAATCGCAACTCTAATTAACAAGAAACGCGATAAATCAATATCGCAACGCTAGTTTATAATATAAAAATTCCAAACGCGATTTCTAACAATAAAAGCAACCGCGAGTGATGATATTCGCAACACTACCCTGAAAAGTAAACGCGAAAAATAGTGTAATTCGCAACGCTAAGAGCAAACCGATCAGTTAATTCGCAACGCTATTCTTAAATAACAATAAAAACAATCGCGTATGGAATTCGCAACGCTACCCTGAAAAGTAAACGCGAAAAATAGGAATTCGCAACTCTACAAGCAAACGCGATTATTGTATATTCGCAACTCTATCTTTAACGGAAATATATCTATGTTTCGCAACGCTAATGCAAATCGCGTTGCCCAAAAACGCTGGATCAGGTGCTGGCGTCTTCGGTTGTAGCTACAAACATACATGCACGAAATAAACTAACTACTTCAAGCTACTTCAAACTACAATAGAGTGGCATATATGGGGATGAAGTTAGACGTTTTAAATATCGCAACACTACGGGGCAACAACGCGATAAATCAACAATCGCAACGCTAATTTATAATAGAAAAATTCCAAACGCGACTTGTAAGAATAAAAGCAACCGCGAATGGTAATTATTCGCAACTCTACCCTGAAAAGCAAACGCGAAAAATAGTAATTCGCAACTCTAATAGCAATCGCGTTTACTAATAATTCGCAACGCTATTTTTAAAGCAAATTCCCGGTTTCTAGGTTTGCATAAAATCAATCGCGAATCGTGTTTAGTCGCAACACTGACACATCAACGCGATAAATATTTGTTCGCAACTCTACGAGCAAACGCGAACATTGTATATTATTCGCAACTCTAACTTTAATCAGGGGCTATTGGTACATGTGCATACACATGTACTGGCCACAAAATGAACTAACTACTACTAGTACTACAATTGGGGTAGAATTTGGGCATTGAAAATATCGCAACGCTAAATAAAAAATCGCACGATTAATCGAGATCGCAACGCTAATTTATAGTATGAAAATTGCAAACGCGGTTGATGTCCATTATATGTATAAAAGAGTAAAAAAGCAACGCGAATCGTGATTGTTCGCGAC